ATAAGGGAGGTTGAATACATGTATTCCGAAAACAATAGGAGGAATGGACCTGAGCGTGGCCCGAAGGCCAGCCCACGTGTACAGGGCCCAGACAAGCTCTAAAGTGACCGCCAAACGTCAGATAGTCACATAAACAAAGCATTACAGCAATAAGCGATAAGCGTAGTCGAATACTTGTATTCCATGGAGAACAAAGTAGTAAGTCCTTAGCATGACCCGACAACCAATCTCCCCTTACAAGGGCTAGACGAATCTTAAATTAACCACCAGACATCAGGTGACCACATCACCAAATCCTTATACTTGTCTTCTCTGTAATACTTTGTTTATGTGACCACATGACGTTTAACGGTCACTTAAGGATCTGGCTGGTCCTTGTACACGTGGCTCATTTGCCCTGCCGCCTTCAGAATACATATATCCAGCTGCACTTACTGACTTCTTATGCTGGCTAGGAAGTCTTGGGACGCTACCCTCTCTTCTTTGGAGCGACCTCCCCGACGCTTCCCGTGGTACACATCCCACACCAGTCAACACAACATATTCTATACTGCAAGAAAGCACCCACGAGCCAGCCGAACCAGTCAACAGCTAACATGAGACTGAGGAGCCCTACTTGGTCTCCTCAGCAGCTTTAACTGGACCTGGAGTTACGTTTGTTCTGACAGCCAGAAGCGTAGTCGCATACACCTGTTTACCATCAGTTGCTCCCATGTCTAGACGGTGGAACTCTGGTCAAAAACAAATGCGTCACAGGGAAAACGGGGTAAGATACTGTCGCGTACATAAGGGGAACCACAGTATCATTTTCAACACCTATACACAGATTGTGTAGGGGGGAATTCGGACACGGAACATTTCCAGATGGTTCACGGCGGTGTCACTTTAGTGGTTGATAGCTTGTTTGTGGAACACAGAGACACGGTGAGACTAGACGCAGACGTCAGACGTTGCGAAGGGATCAGATGTTTGCCTGTCACCGATGTAAAAGCGCCTCCTCCACACAGTAGGTACATGCCACAAACGGTAGGTGCTGCCACCGGCGTAGGGTTCCGGCACTTCCCACCGGGTAGAAGAAGGCACAAAGAGTAGCTGATTACATGCATCAAAGGCAAACAAATAATTAGACTTTAGCATGGCCCGAAGATCAGCCTATGCGTACAGGAGCCAGACGAATCCTAAAGCAACCGTTAAACGTTACGTAGCCGCATTAACAAAGCATTAAAAGCCTTACACGCTCATAATTTACATAAATTTTTTATAATATTTTTTTAGAGAGAAAGGAAAGTAGGGGTGTCATGGTAAGCTTCTTTTTGGCGTCGAACCAGCATGAACAATGTGATCGCTTACGACACATCCACACCTACAGCCCATGTGGTTATATTGGGACTTGCTTGCTTGCTCGCAATAAAGGATTAATTGAAGGTTTATTAGGCATCGTGTACGAAATAAAGGTAAAATTGGGGAAAAACTGAAGGGATGGTGCAATGCTTTGTTTATGCGACTATGCGACGTTTTGCGATCGCTTAAGGATTTATCTTTCCATGTTCTCTTAAGCTGACTCTTGCGTTGCTCTCAGACTTATTTACTCTGCCCTTTTAAGAATGCATGTATCTAGCTTCATTTACCGCCTTCTTCCACTCTAAGGGAAGTTTTGGGGCACTACAGGCGAAAAGTCGATTTTACCCTTAGAACTTCTCTTCACTCTTCTCACAAATTTGATTAGTGTCCGAATTGATTTTCCACCTCGCCCCTGCAAAAGCAAACTTAGAACGTTAATATATATTACAGCTATCATGAAAATTGGATTTGTGTATTTTATAATGCTGTTTGTGAATTATTAAGTTTGTTCAGTTCTAACATATATGCAGAGTCTTTCGATATCCTACTTAGCTTAAATTTTTATTTGCATGTGTACTAGAGGCAAAGTGGTGCCTGCAATATATACTAGTTTGTTTCAGTGGACTTTTATAGGTGTGAAGCGGGAACCAATTTGGAACGCTTATCACGTGGGCGATGGCGGCGAAGGATCTCCCACAAATTGATATCTCCTACTTGTCTCATCTGCACCCATTCCCCATTCTTCCTTAGACAGATGCCTGATAGATCATCTGCAACCAACTCCCCTTTGAAGTTTGATGTTCAAGAGTCAGAGGGTAGACAGGCAGCTCTTAAGGTACTATGGATTGTTGTGGAAGTCCCTTTAAATAACAAGTAATTATGTAACTAAAACATCGTATAATATTAGTATTTGGACGATAGTTGGACGCAGATATTTCCTGGGAGTCACGTTGCCCTTGCGGCAAAAGCGAACTAGTTGGCGAATTGGGTGCCGTACGTACGCAAACGCCAGATATAGTGTGGAACTGGTACCATCCCTCCAACAGCCATCGTAATAGAACAGTCATTAAATTATCTCGGTTCCCTTAATTGCAGTATTTGTACGAGGCTTTTAGCACTTTTAAATAATTATTGGTTGTATTTTAGTTTTAATAATATTATGACCACGATTTGCGTTTTTGATATGCTTACCCTACAAGATTTGCTAGCATTGCAATTATCTCCCCATTATGTACTTTGTCTTCCTCATTTCGTATTCGTCTGCACCGTTTGAATTATGTCTGGTGGTTGGAATGATAGGTCATGGTGGCCTGAGCCGGATGGTATGGATGGGAAAGGAGTTATCTGCTTTTTAGAAGCTGATGTATCTTTGGCAAGGGAAAATTTGGACCAAATCCTTGTCGCGTATAAAGAAAATCCTGAAAAAGTGTAGGTTGCGATTGGATATTTTGATGCCTCAGAAAGGAAAGCTTGAAGTACAAAGATGAGGTTATGAATCGGAAAGAAGTTCTGGAAAAGGAAAAGTATAGGTCGCCCTTGTACAAGGTTGGAGGCAGCGAAGTGAAACGCAGGAAACGGGGACTAGTTTCCGATGATGACGACACGCCAAAGGGTACAGCGCTCAACATCCTTATGTCTTTCTAGAATCATTCGTCATCAAGGTCTTTGAGAGGAGTGTTGATTTTGGGCAGTTCCCAGAAAATGCTCCCCTTTATCCTATGGCTCGTGCCTGGATTCGCAATCTTAGTCAAACAGATAAGTCATCGTGGAATGACATTCCGAATACTGATGATGACCGAGAAGTAATATGCGTTGATTTTTTTATGTCTATTCAATTGCTTCTATGATTTTTCAATTTAGGGCACTGATCAGCTGCCCGACTGCCATTATGCTCTGCCGAAGCCAAATGATGGGCTTACCGATAGTCAAGTACGCGTCCCGCAGCCTCTACCCTCGTCTGGTCAGCCTTTTGTGATAAACGTTGAGGTAAATGTTTGTGTTTTTCTCTCGAACCGAATAGCGTGCATCTATGTAGATTTCCGCACTATGCGAGTATTACACCTGCAAATCCTTGCTTTCTTGTCTTTGAAGTTTTTTAATTTCATCTCCATAGCATCACGGTTCTCCCATCTAATGACAATTGTCTAGACAAAGCGTTTGAGTGTCTCTGATATGGTGTAGTACCTATTCGGCTCCGCACATTTAGCACGAACATACGTGCTGTAAGGTTAAATTCTGATTTAATTTCATACATTTGGATTGAAGTTGGGGGTGGAGGCGATTCTACCTTCCGATACCTTCAAATGGTTAGTTGTCTTTGTTTAATGAATTTCGACAAAAATGTTGTAGAATCCTCCAAAAGAGATGTCTCCGGAAGGCTTATTGGAACAGCACATAACCCGCTGGCGCGAAATCCGTCGAAAGTGAGTAAAATTCCCTTTCTAATTCTTTAGCGCTCCAATTTGAGTGCTATTAAGATCGATCATTCGGTCCCCTTTTAAAGTAAAAATTGCTATTTTGGTTCAGTTCTAAGACCTTTGTTTCTAGATGGAAAGCGGCTTGCAGAGAGAACGAAGAACGCTACAGAGACTCCTACATTATTCTGCGGGAAATGTATGACAAATTTTGCAAAGATCTCCCATAGACGTCACTACTTGTATGCTGCCATCGGCATGCACATATTGTAAAAATCCGTTTCACTTAATTCTTCTGTATTCCACCACTTCAGCCATCCTTCCTTCCACAAGTACGGCAAGTCAGGTTCTTCCTCAGTGGCGTAGTAATGTGGGTCCTGAAAGAGAAGGAGTATGCTACAAATAACGACGTTCCTAAAGTAGGGTTTTGTTTAGGCTAATACTAAAGCATGATCTACGGATGGGTACTGCCAATGTTGAGGTGGATGACTTACTAGAATCAGTAGCGATGGAGACTCGCAGTTCTCTTTTTCTCTAATAGCAAGAATGCATTTGGAGGAGCAATCCTTCATACCACCTATAGAATTGTCACATTCGGAGAGTGGCTCACCCATCATTATTGGGGCTCCGATATTTTGGAAGTGGTCGCGTATTTTCATCGTGCATTCCTTATCGAATTTGCCGTTTGGTACTTGAACAATTTTGTAATCGGTCTATGCCAAAGGTTTATAAACGATGTGATCCTACATTTGTCAGATTCTGTAAAACGATTCCCGCTTCGACGGAACCTATCCATTCGTGGGATTTGTAGAAGGAACGGGGCTTGTCGCCTGCATCAATTAGGGTTAACTGGATATCATCTATGTCAGGGAATGTGGACTGGAGAGAGAGATTCAATTTGAACCATGAGATAATCGTTTGCAACGTGCGGTAGCCACATCCCCAGCCCTATAAGAAAGTGATTGTTTGGTGGCAGAAGTTGGATGTGGGTGGTCCCAAAGTCTTCGATGATCCCTCGGCTTGGGTTGCATCGAAGGGAAAATTTACATGATACTATGTGATATCCTAGGAACAGTCGCACCTTTCCAGTGTAAAGTGGGTAGCATTTTCGATTGTAAATGACAAGTAATTCTTACTCTGTCGTCGACCTTCTGGCTCCCATAATGCCAATATTCCACAACGCCTTTGAAGGTGTGGAGGGTTCCCATTTCTCTATCATTCTCACTAAGACAGTCTTCGGAGGTTATCCTCAGCATAACCTAAAAGTCAGGTAAACGGTGTGCATATTATTTCGTTCGATGGTTCGATAAACAATATGCTGACTTCGTTTGGTCATGTTCTCATTCAAATCGCCGATGTCCCAGTATTGCATTTCCAAATGATTGAGGGTCCTCTGGCTACTCTCCGCCAACGCTAGCCAAGTCTTCGAGTTACCTGCTGCGCGAAATCAGCATATCAAATGCGTTTCATTCTATTTTCGCTCTACTCCGCGAACACACCATCTTGATGAATGCATCCATCATATAAATTCACTCAAACTCCATCACATACATTGCCTCTAGGATGAAGATGCTTTTGCGTGCGAAATAATAATCACGGACATCCTGTTTAATGGTGCCCAATGCATAGGGTGAGTAGACTTTTCCTGAGCTTTTAGACATTGTAAGAAATAAAAGGGATGAAGCATAAGATTTCAGTTGTTACAAACGTTATTAGAAGCTTAGCCGCAAAAAAAATTGAAATTACTCAATCTTGATTGGCTGATTAAGGCGAGGCGAAGTTAGGGCGCGTGACTTTACGTTCGAAAATGAAACAAAGGCGGAAAGAGCTCTGCAAGGTAAGACTGTGCAATTTATTCAGTCACTGAAGTGATCTCAAAATTACATTAGGGCGAGTAAAACCAATCATCAGTGTAGTTAATGCCATACACAGCACAACAGTTTAATAGGAAGAGGAAGAGAGGCAGGACCTCCATTTTTAGCAGGGGATTTGATTCTGGTAGTATTGCAGCATGTCATAAGACTTGGCGCGCCAGTGGTCGACGCAAGCCCGTACGAGGCGGATGTAGGCATTGCCAGCGTCACGATCTGAGAGGCTGGGCATGAAGCGTTGGCGCAATAGCTTAATTGTTTGCCCTCGAAAACATGGCAGTCCCGAATCCAACATAGCTGAAACCAGTGCCACTATCGCCTCACGGTATGGCCGCAGTGCCAGAAAGGCGCGCACGGAGAGCTGCTCAAACCACTGAAAAGCTGGGCTGTCAGTTGTTCCGCCCATAATCATCAGCATCTCCTTCGTCAACTTAATGTCCGGCTCCCATCCCAGGTTGCCGCCCGGACTACTCTCGAACATGAAGCCAAAATCTAAAACAAACAATGTCCCTTATGCACAATGCCTGAATTTAATGATTTGCCAAAATGCCTTGAACGTACCGATGTGTATAATGTGACCTTCCTTGTCCAACATTATATTACCATTGTGACGATCTTTTATTTGCAGCAAGTAGCATACCACGCTATACGCTGCCATACTAACGACAAAGTTCCTCCGTGCCTATGAATCACAAAAAAAGCGTCAAGTATAAAAGCAGACAATTTTAAGACCACTTACAATGGTAGATTTTATAGGGCAATTTAAAAATTTGACCTTAGCGACACACCTCTTGAAATTTCGGTGTAGTCTCATCCCCGAAAATGCTCTGGAAATAGTCGTACATGCCACTGTCGGTTTGACGACCGATTTGATCACGCGACTTACTATCCGGAACACATTCAATAACGCCAGACTGCAAAGAAAAAAAATAGTTAAATAGTGGTGTTTGAAATAGAAGTAATCAGTTCGGCATAACATACCCCTGGACCCGTAGCAACCACGTGATAGGGATAGAGGAACAGCTCTAATCCGTACTGGTAGAAAACGTTTTGAAATATTCGAATGACCTGTAGAGCCAGGATATCCTTGAGAAATAAATTTAATGAAGAAATCGAATCAATAAGCGTCAATTTTGTAAAAAATAACCAAACACAATAAAACCTACCTGGCGCACATCGTCACCTACTTTGAAAATGCAGGCTTGCCAGTAGGTAGCTGAGGGTAGTTGGTGTGAATTAACCGATTCGCTCTTGGATGTTTTACCACTGCCTTTAGGAAAGCTTGGCTGATTTGTTGTGCTTGTTTGTCGACGAGCTCGAACACTGATAAATAGAAATAGGTTGAATAAATTCACCAACACCGCAATAAGTAATAAATTACATCTCCAGTGGCATACTGCACACACTCAGATCTAGCTCTAAACGGTTTCGAGGTAGACTAATCTGTGTTAAACAATCTTATTCGCTAAAACTATGCCTAAGTTGGATTAACCCTACCAAAGTTAAGAAATAAATAAAAACGGATGCAATAATGGACAGCCGAAACGAACAAACGAGTAACAATGCAACGTGCAAGGAACTCTTGAGGGAGAACATATGAGAGTCTTTTCGCGAAGGTGCAGGGGTCTCCGTGGTAGGTCTTTGACCGCCTTTTGACGCTGTCGTTGCAAGGACAGAGGCCGCCTCTGACGCCGCCTGAATGGCCGTCTTCTCCAATTGGGTGATGCCGCATCTAGAAACCTTTAAATTGACACAGCAAGAAAAAATTTTCAAGAAACAATGTTGAAAAGTTCTTACCTACGAATTACAAGAGCATCAAGCGAGAATCGATTAAGTCTCAGTATACTTGAGCTGTCCCATTTAATGGGCGATTTCGCAGTTCTGATTTCTAACACCATTCAGCGGATTTGTAAGGGTTAAGCTAGGCACAAAAGCCAATATATGATCACATCAAGTAGACATTTAAAAGTGTCGCAAATAAAGGGACTCGTATTTCCATTCGTAGTTACATATATTCACAAGCCTGGAAGACTTAAGGACCCACACCTTAAACTTGGCCAAATAAGGAGCCTTGGCGGCAGATTGCATTGGTGTTCCTGAATTGTAATCAATTTCAAGAACAATCGCATCTGGATTCGAAGGCAGGTAGCAACCCGGTTGGAGCTTTATCTTTCTTAAAGCCTCCAAACAAGCCTTCTTGCGCTCCGGACCCTTTGGGTACGGCCTAAAAGCAATAATCAGCACAGACGCCATGCGATGTGGATGTAGTCGAAACGAGTTGTAGCAAAACCCACCGTATTTCACCAGACACACTTGTTATCTGATCAAAGAATGTGAACTCGCGTTTGAAGAACTCGAGTGCAGGCCCCGAGAAACGCTTTGTTATTTCTTCAGACATCCACTCCAACTGCGAACCAATATCGAGATCCTTATCGTGACCCTCCTCATCCTGATAGATGTTAGTCTTCATGTTCCAGAGTAACTGGTGTGCCAACAGTGGTGATCGATGCGCAGAGCTCAAAATGAATTCGGACATGTAACCCAGCTACGTAGGAAAGCCAATATTAAGGGTAAGCTCCGTGTACAACCAAAAAAATGGATGCTTATTCAGTCAAAGGACGGATGCCTATATCGATTATCCATCTACGGTTCAATGCAAAAAATGCACCTTATCATATCGAGTCCCCTGGACCAATTGGGGTACGTAAAAGAGCAGAGTTTCCGGTGTGTAAGAGCCAAGGACTCTGACGGCGTATTGATGTGTGAGAGGGTGCTGAGGATACATGCGGGAGAAGTAGGATATGGCTGTCACTGGAGCCACAGAAGTCCAGGAAAGGATATGTGAAAGCTAGATCAAAGGATAAAGAAATGCGGAAACGGCCTTCTCAAGCATTTAACCGATTCTCAAGTAACTGGAAGTTGTGAAAAAAACTGATGAAATTGAAAATAATAAGAATAGAAAAAAGAACCTCGGGAATATCAGCCTCAATGTTTGAGGGATTGGCTAAGTACTGGAGAGCCGCAGGGACGTGAGAAACCAATGTGGGAGATTGGCGAACCAAACGACTCACTTCTTCTCGGACCTGATCTGAACCACGTAACCTGGCAAGAGAAGACCTTAGAATTCGAGCTTTGGAAAACGTCACGCGGTAGTAATTTAAAAGACATTCAATGATAACTGCAAATACACATGCCATCCATTCGATTAAATACTAAATTAAGGCTTACTTAACCCAAATTCAATAGCAGATGAAATAATATCTTCATCGACCACAACAAATTAAATGACTGCATCCTATCGACACAAGACAGGAGATAGAAAACTAACAACTAAGGTTATTTTTGCCTATATGCTGCAACGTGGTACTTGAGAATGTCATATACGAACCGGCGTTGGAGAAAAATGGCAGCAGCCGGACAGAATTCCCAAGCCAGTTGGGCCCAGTTTCCCAGATTCTTCTCACGTAAAAGCTCCTTCCGCAACCAGACCTCCACATCTGACTCACCCGGCAGGGTGAGCTCCGCACTGCCCTGTGGATTGTACCACACTACCAGACGTTCTATTTCCGTGGCCTAGGAAAGGAGAATAGACAACGCCATAGCAAAAAACAAAAGCCAGATGCCAGTATTACTTAAGCGCAACTTCAAAGTTCAACAAAAATATGAAGAAGTCCATGTTTCCACCTAATGCTAACATATAAGACTTTCATGATCTTCAGAGTCGATCGAAGATCCAAAAAAACCTTCAGCAGAAATACAGGAAACAAATGCTAGTTACCAATAAAAGTAGCAAAAGCTCCTGTTTTCGCGTATAGAATGACTTTATTGCCTCTTCATTGACAGGTGAAGATGTCATTCGTTTACCTACATAAGTGGTAAAAGCAGGTCAGATTTAGTAGAACAACGAAAGGAAACATTAAGGCTTAAATTTGAGGTAACTAATCGCGATCCCAACACACATTGTCATGCCTGCATGAGGGTGGACGCGCACCAAAATTTTGCAAAACAAGGGTTTTGCTTGGCTCAGATTAAATCAGCAAAGCAACCACTTCTACAACCCTTTCATGAGACCCAACGCAAAAAAAAAACATTATAAATGTATACCTAGCGCAGAAGAGCGCTTTGAAAGGAGAGAGACAGTCCCCGCATATGTTGCATACGATTTAAGCTGACTCAGACTGTTGACCATTCCAGAAGGGCATGAGGAATAAGCATTTCCAGAGCCATCATTGTTGACATTCATGGACAAATAGGGAGCAGGTCCACTGGAACGATACTTGCAGACAGGAGCTGGACTAGTTGAGATCTGTGCAAGTTGGGTGGTGGGTGTAGGCGTGTGGAAGCTCGAACACCTCGTGACAACCGCATGTCCAGCTGGAAGAATAACGCTTGTAGTCGTCAAAGTATTTGTTTCGTGGCGATTAAGTGTGGATATCAGAGGGCTAAGATCTGTACTTCCAAATGCCCCGCCATGACCCGATATTTGCGTTAGAGCTTCGGCTTCTTCACTCATCAAGTGATGGCAGGAAAGATATCGACGTTCTACATTAATAGCTTTGCGAATGCCTATCAAGACTTGGATATCGTCCCGAAGATTAACGCCGGTTTGGAGAGGGTAAGAGGGCTCTGAACTAGTATATGTAACAGAAAGATTAACAGAGTTGAATATGAATATGTATAACAATCGAATGTAATTGAAACAAACCTGAAATAATTTATTAAGGTCGAATATACTTTTTCTCGGAGTGACAATCGTACGATTGGAGGCAAAGTAAGAGCAGTGTGTATAGGAATCGCTTTTGAAGCTGTCCAGCTTCCACCGCCCAATGCAGTTGTTGCGGTCCCCATAGAAGAGGCAGATATTCCAGTTTGTCCTACACCCACCATCGCAGTAGGGGAGACATTTGCTGAAACTGCACCACCGACACCAGTAGTACCACTTCCGGTGGATAAATTATCAGTCATGTCCGATTGAGAGGTATGCGCAGTTGCAGCACTATGAAGCAAACCAAGCGCCATCTTTGCAAGGCGAAAACGAACACCCATTGCGTTCATGGAGCGCGAAAGACTTGCACGGACCGGATTTTTCACTTTAATGGCATCAGTTCCAAGCCCATTGTTCCTGCTACGCGATAAATAGTCGACTTCCCCAGAAAGACTATACTGGAGAAGGCTAATGTACAGTTTTACCTCCTCTTGACTTAATGATTGAGCTACATATAAGCGTTCGGAGATAAACTGAAAAAAAGCAACTATAATGAAAACTACGATAATTGGCGCTAAACTAGGGAGCGAAGGAGAGGCAGCTTACGTCAGCCCAAAGACAATGAGGCAACGCATAAGTCCTCCTGGATGATGATGTTTCCGAGTCAGAAAGATTTATGAAAGAACTGTCTTTGTCAAGGTCGTCTGCCTCATCAGAGAAAGCGCCCATTCCTTGATCTACTGTATACTTCCACGCAGCGTTCATTTCGCTTGTAAACTGCACGAAAGTAACCGACAAATAGTTACTTCTGCTTTCAATTTCAAACGAAACAGCAAAATTGTTTCGGGGTAAGAGTCACAGTCACAGTTGCTCCTAGCTACAAATGGTAACTCATTAAGTTCAACTGAGCTAATATAAAAGTTCAACACTGCAGCAATTCACCTGTAATTTTAGGTTCGCACGAGCCGCCAGAAGCCAGTACCAACAAGAAATGGCGAGTTCAACCATGGCTGGTGCAAAGATTTTTAGCGGTGCCCGGCAGAGCTGTTGAAGAAGCCGTCTGACCATCACACCCTGTATAATAAAGGCCTGATTCCGTTGGATTGAACTGATGGATGTTGCAGTGCAGGAGCACATTCTATTGTCCACTACCGTAACATCGTCGTACCGGTCGGACTTGGAGGAGGGCGGCTGTTCTTCACGTGCCACCAAGAGAGCAGTGATTGTGAAGAGACTTGTTTCTATGGCCTCAAATTCAGTGCTTTTGGGGTTCAATGTTTCCCCATATTCCTTAGCTAAGGCAAAAAGAGGCGCATGAGCTGAAGTCAAATAAAGAAACATAAGATTATAAAATGGGAGTACCTTTGGCGCAGGCATCTTCAAATTCCTGAATGGCATCTGTAACAATACGACTTAGATCAACTTTTTTTTTTAACAGTCCATTGATCTAAAACGTTAAAAAATGGCATTTACAGAAGTAGCAATTTTACCTCAGCTTACAAATGATAACACTAAAACTTACCTGACCCAGGAATTTGCTACGCAGGGTTAGATTGCACACAAAGTTTGAGTAGTCGTATTTTGCGCTACTTGTCCGTTTTTCTAACACTCCCAGCTGAAAGGACAGGCGGAATGAAATTATATTTACTGGTGCATTCAAAGGCATTCTGACGGATTGTAATTAAAGGTAATCATCTCAAAGCTCTGTGACGAGAATTAAAACTTTCACACCGTACAAATAACCCAAAGAGTTGTAACAGCCGTCATAGGGCAATTTTGTTAATAAGGAACTCATGTCTGCGATAGTAAAATATATGTTAAGTAAGAAGAGTAGAGAAGGAGAGAATAAATGCCTAACCATAAAATGATGAATAACGCGACTAGGGGGTCCGTTGTAATTGAAAACTATTTCAGATGCGAGCGCGAGGCCGGTGTGGCGCCGAAGCCCCTGCCAAGAGTGCTCTCGCTGCAGAGCGTACTCAGCGAGGTGTGATCGCACCAGTCCGGGGGCCCACTTGAGGCCCTCTTCGATAACCGAGGTGCAGCGTTTCACAAAATCGGAGAGGATTTGTTGTCGATCTTGACGCGTCTCCATTACGGAAAGACGAAAGTTGGTGCCGGGAACAGTGTACACAGGTGGCACTTGGTTCATACCCTAGAGCATGCGAATAAGTACTCATGGTATCAAGTTCGAAAATGAAAGAATCGGTCGACACATCGGTTTCCTCACCACTAATGAGATTGTTCATGCTGTAATACGCTATAGGAAACCAACAATATCGACCATTGATATAAAATTTGATCGAAATGATGCTTCAAGTTTTTCAGACATTTGCAAGGTCGGTTGCTGCAACCTTTAGAGGATTTCGTGAGGTAATATTAATATGGTCCAAAAATATGAACGACGCGATGAGAATTTACTAAAATATAGCAACAGCACTGATTTTCAAACAAAAACACTCGCTACACCGTGACTAGGGTAAAATGGCATCAGCTTATGAAAAAAAAGTAGCCATATGTCTCAGAAGCTAACATTGACTTACGACCTCCAGGGATTGAGCCAATAGCTCAGTAATGTCAAGCATTGTGAACAAAACACTTCCGCTCCACATAACGTGTGGAAACCTAAAGGTTGAGACAATGCTAAGGCTATGGATGACGAAAAAGGTATCTGCATAGTCATTATGAGTATAAAACGAAATTTAGGCGTATTTTACACAAACTAGACTATCAAACAGCATGTCTACAACTATTCGCAGTAAACTATGTTTTCACTATCAACGTATATAATACATACTTTTTGAAAAATGCATTACTTTGCTTGATCACTGAAAGTTTATTGAGCTACAGTATTCATGAGTCTAAGACTATGAAGAATAGACACAAAAGTCTGGCTTAAACCCAACTTTGGATATCAAATCCTGTTAAATATGGTAGTAAAACTTTCAAAAAGTGAAATAATGACAAGCTGGGTAAAGTATTGATGACGGTAAGAGCATTTAAAGGTTACGAAGGAAGTAGCGTTTGACATTATCAGGTACGATCAAAATATTCCAACATTTATACCGCGTGGTAACAATTGTGAATTTTTGTCTTCTACAAAATGAAGTAATGTAGTTATTTCAAAAGTGAATTACTATTTAGAAAGTGGAGTCGGCGATTGGCTTAAAAAGAACAGACTTACGCTCTTGCTAGATCGCTCAAAAACTGATCGGCAACAATACGGACACCTTTCTGAATATGGTTGAATTTTACCAGGAGGAATTGGGCATGCATATCAACTATTTCTTCCCGTTTGCTGTCCATTGCCTAAATCAAATGAGAAGAATAGAGCCAGCTGATATCTTTTAGTAGAATCAAACCAGTACTTTAAATCCATACGAAGAGGTAACAGTACATAGGCGAAAAAAGTCAGTTTTCTATAGTTTAACATCCAACCAAAATTCACTTTAGCTGGCCATCACCTGATTATAAGATTTGGCCCACGACTAAGAGATGATGACACCATAAAACGCATTGTGCATGAGTGCACAATGGAATTAATAAGGTCAAAAGGATTAAATAAAGCGGGAAAAATAGATGCTAATCAATTGTGGGCATAAAATCAAGGATATCGAAAAAATAAGTTTTTATTCGTTCTAATGAAAGGTAGCGCCATGAATAGATTTAGTTGAAATCAAAATATGACTACATTTGCCCATACCATATTGCTCAGGCGTTGAAGTAACCGTTGAAAGATCCGCACAGTCACTTGCATAATGCAGGCCCACATGTCTAGAAATTTAAAGTTAGCCCATAACTATTGCATAAGTAATAAAAGCCAAACTTCAGACTGTGCTGATAAACCGGAGTAAGATGCACTTTAGCTGGAACCATAAGAGCAGAAACGACTTTCCCGTCAAAAATCCACAGATTCGGAATGCAACAAACTGCGAAATTGGTCAAACACGACGAGAATAGTATAAATCCACCCCAATCATGTATCAGACTACTAAAGAACTAATCTCGAATGTCACATAACAGGTTCACAATACTAGCAATGCTAAGAAATTATTGACACTTATAAAGCAATTCGTTACCATAAAAGAACTGTTTCAGTAATGGGCACTCATTACCTGATTTATCAGATCGAATCGTACTGTCCTCAAGGTACTGAAACATCTTTTGAAAAGCATCTAAGTCATTGGAATGTTCGATTCTAAGAAAGCAAGAGAAGCCATATTGAAGTTTTAGCGGTGTAAGAAAAGTAATACAGATATTGATAGGTGCAGTCCATGCCATACGAACAAATGAAAACTTAATTTGGTATGGTAGAGAAACAGTGAAGCATAGATTGTTTTACGGTTGACTGCTCATGGGACTGAAATGGTGTGCGTGCGCACAGATATCCACCTTATATCTGCTGGTAAAACTTTGACAAAAATGAGCCTACTGGTCAAAGCAGAATCTAAAAACTGACCGGAGAGATTCCAGTTGGTAGACAGACATTAGGTAAGCAGACTGAGTGATGCTCATTAGCTTAATACTGGTGACAGTGGGTCTGTCCGAACTTCCAGACTTCGTAGTTGGAGCGAGAATGGCGCAAAGTCGGTCCCTTAAATTTTGCTGGGTTGCCTAAAATTCGTTCAAGTGAATAAGTACCCCAAGATAATAATGGTTAAATCAACCGTAATGTGATTAAAAAATATGGTTAGATTTAGGGATCTCTATCTGCACTATACTGTCAACAAGCAACGACCGACCACCGAACATGAATTCTCGCAGACTAGTCAAAAATGGAAACGATGACGAAAATGTTACAAAAAAGGCCCATAAATTGGCTGTCGAGTGATAAGGAAAATTACACTCTTTACCGGGAAAGTCAAAACGCAATGATGTGTCAATAAAAATTCGAGGAGAACAATAGGAAGTTTGGAGAAAATGTACGAATAAACTGAAAAACATTGGTCACGAAGGGTTTCGAGGTGGCGAGAGCGTGAGTATTTAGTATTCAAGACCGCAACAGTTAAACCAACAAAGTAGCCCCATGAACAGGGGAGGAGACCTGCAAGTGCTGGAGCCAGAGAACACTTACGTCTCCGTCTGCAATCCACTCGAGCAACGTCTCATACATTCCGTAAAAATCAAACGAAGTCCACTGCATGCGCATCCATCATGGAGAAGGATGGTTAAACAAATACAAGAATAATAACTGTTAGAGAGATGCAGTGCTTTCGCAAACAGATAGTAAGACGCTTGGACTTCGCAGCTTAGACAGACCGAAATAGCCGATCCGCTTAAAATAGTTAGGGTAAGATGCACTCCATTAGTAGACCCGATTATCAATTCTGGAGAACATTTCAAAGGAAAATCATGATCCGGTCAGGGTCCATGGGGTTGAATTCAGTTCACGAACAAATTCTCCATGGAAAAAGTAAGAAAATGGGATAATAAAGTCACTAGTATTGGTTACATTTTCGCTAACAAACCTGGTTCATAACCTTAGACTCGGCGTACTGTAGGTCAGAACGAAGAGGTTCCCTGCTGAGCAGCGTCGGAGATTTTGCGGCTATCTCATGAAAGCTCAAATCCAGGTTTTTAGGATCTGCAAAGTACAAGAGTTTGGGTAAAAGAAAGTCAAAGCAATTATAATTCCCGAAACCTGTAAGAAAGTTGACATTGTGTCCAATACTTTAGTGCATAAATTAATACAAATTATTACAGCAAGCATTAACTCAAAATTCTACATTTTATGCTTAATACCCTGCCAGCTTCCACTTCTACCATGCCTAGCATAATGAAAGTACCAACATTAATGCAAATCAAATCCAAATTTACTTTGCGAAGCCAGTAAAATCTAGCCGCCTGCACACACTACAAATCCAAAATCCCAAAAGTATAACAAGGGGTTTGTGGCCCATGCGGCTGCTTGTTATTGTCCATGCGGTGAGTAACTAATACAGCTGGCACGTGTAAACTACTTGAATTGACCGTGTTGTACTAATATATAAGTTTGTACGTACATAAACATGACTCACTCAAACTCGATTGGATGATATCACGACCGACGCTGTTAAACCAAAAGTCTCGAAAGAGTTTCCTCAGACGAACATCCGGGTCGGTTATCGGCGGAAATCGATGGAGGAGCTAAGACAAACATTGCAACATCCAATCCTTCAAAGTGTAGGTAAAGTCAAGGTACAAACAGATTTTGCATAAAAGGTTGTGACTCTGTAATTTTGCATTTCTACATACCTAATTCAAGGATTAAACAATGACAAACAATTTCATTGTTCGACAAGCTTTCGCATGAAACCATAACATTGCTTCACTGCGAATGCTTGTACATTTACTTACCACCGCGATAACTGGAATGAGATAGTCTGTGCAGTAAGACGTAGAGACCTTTAACAAAAGGAATCGTTGAAATTCAGATCTGTACGTTTGGATCTACTCGCAATACTGGAATCAGAGAATTGATATATTAGCCACTTAACGTAATGAAGCAGGTAGCCAACTTACGATCTCCGTATTTTTTAGATCCATTCGTAGTTCTACTTCGAGCTGGACAAAGTGCTCCAGAAGACGACCAAGCAAATCCAACATTTCGGTCTCACCTTGAATCCAGGCAGCCATGTTAGCCAGTCCATTGATAACGCTAACGAACATCCGTCTGCAAGCAAATTAATGGAAATAAAACGCTATCAAAATAATGAGTGCCGAACTCATTTCATTAACAAGTTCCAAAGTCTAACTGCAACGTAAGTGAAAGGCAACATCAAATAAATGGTGATATCGAAAAAAAAAACCTCAACCGCCACTAGAAGGGCCTCTGAAAGGTGCTCAGATGATTATCGATCCCACAATGCACACTTTCACAACACATTGTTTGCACGAATCCTAATTAGAAAACTCCGAGTAAAAAAATGTGGCAACCACATGACACATCGACGATGGAGAACCGCCGCGTTACTAGCCTAGATACGTCTATTGCACATTATCGATACTAGGCGACCATAAACAGACTAAATAAAGTTCAGCTACCTACTCATTGTCGGGATCTGGAATGGGACCAGAGGAGAGGCAGAGTTTGGCTGATTTGACACTGAGATCCATGAAGAGCGCCATGATCTGATTGTAGACGGTAGGCTGAACACAAGTATTAACGAGTATAAAGGATGCCCAAGATCCAATCCAAAAGTGGTGACATGCAATCCAGTATTAAAGCAGATTGTGAGAAGCAACGTTTGCAATAACTCGTACACGTAGGAGGACACAACTACGACGAGTAAGAATCACTTGAAAAATGTGAATCAAAATTAGTACAAGTGTAGTGAAGTCAGTGGACATTTATTTGAATATTGGAGGTCGATATATTCACCAGGAAATCAAGTATGCGCCTGTTGCATCACACAATGTTCACACAAAAGATAGATGGCTGGAATTAACGTTGCCTCCCTTTGCATGGTGAAAAATCACTATGCAAAAAAATATCCAGATTCAAAACAGTGACTAATTCTCATATAAAAGAGCGCATCCCAAAGTCTCCAATGCAAAGCCTCTCGAATTACTTAAAAAATAGTGATTAGTAAGGCGCTGAAATAAAGCCAGTAGAAGACATACAAGTCACTTTAAGTTGGTGTAGCCTTTCGACGGTGCATGGAGTCTTGTAAGCGTATTAATTGTTAAAAAGACTCGGTGAAAGTAGATGCATAATTGTGATGCGAATGCGTGGGATGTCACAGACTTACACTGTTTATATGCACTGACTCACGGGGCTAGAAAATGCAACAAAGTAAAGAAGATTGAGTCACCGCTGAGACTGCTATGAAGAAATGTTGCAGCTCGGTGACAACGACCATATCCGCAGCTCAACGTCGACTACTTCAGCAGCTACTTTAAATGAAATTGGTAATAAAAAAGGAGCCACGGATTTGGACGGGAAAGCATTCCAAGCAAAATGCAGTGTGATATAACCGAAAATGGATAGTAGGTAGTACTATAGGAGAATAACCACAGCTAGCCCGCGTACAAAGAAAAAAATAGCACCTAAGGATGCGACAGAGCACACACTTCATCAGCCAACTTAAAATTCGAAATTGTCCGCAAGATCATTTGATCTGTAGTGTAATAATATAGTTACGATGTTGTAGTTTGAAACTAGGAAGAAAGCAGCACAAATACTGACATTTCAACGAGATTAGGCCGCTGGAATTCACCCGAATTCACTTTAACGACATTCAATTGATGAATCGTAGAAAATGTAGCTTGGAGACACAATGACTATGAGATTCGAGGAAACAAGAGGTGGGTAAATTAGAAGTATCAGTAAAGCAGTGAAATTAAGGAAACACCAGGTCGTTGAGAAAACTTACGCATCCAGCAATCACCATGCAACTACACTGGTCAATGATTTTTTCGATGAGCTCGAGGGAAACACCTGAAATTTCAAGACACTGCTGAATAAGTTGTAGAACTTGTTCTTGTGTCTTGGGAACAGTGGCCAACTCTACACCCATCCAACCGAGGGTGAGAATCACGTTTTGGTAAATTAGATCGGTGTCCCTGCAAAAACGTGAAGAGGTAAAGGTAAAATAATGTTCTTGTAGCCGTACCGCAGCCCGATTCGCACAAGCTGAACAAGCGGTGCATCGACTCAGATGGATGAGAGGACTAGTGCTTATCTCTGGCGCGAAAGATTTCTCATGTCTAGCTAGTAAGAGGTCCACTTATCCTTTCTACCGTTTTCTATTAAGGCATTTCAACTTTATTCAAAAAGATACACGAAATCTTAAGCATAGTCAATGCCAACTTTCTAAATAAAATACTTTGTTTCTTGAAAGTAATGCCATTGATAAAAACGACATATTTCAAACTGTAGATGTGAACGTTTACCTATCGCTTTCAGTGGCAGCGTTATATAACTTCCGAGAAAGTTCTGCCAAAAGACTCTCCACGTAACTCTGGTTTGTCATCAACACTCTAAAACGTATAACAAACTTTGAGAGCTTAATTATGGGGTTTAACCGTAAAAAAGTGAGCGATTCCAAGTATTTTAGGGGAAAAAAATATGAACATAAAAAAGAATCCATCAGGGCTTCTAAAAGTGAGGCTTATGTACATTTCCCAGTTAAATTTCGCAAGCAAAAAAGACGATGGGTATAGGTTGACACAGTAGCACAGACCACCAACAAGTCATTGAAAAGGTGCTCCTTGTGTTACCGGCAAAGACTCTGAATTGCTGTCCCTCGGATTTTATCCAGAAGTCTTTGGGCACGATGAGGACGTCTGTTGTGGCCGGTTACTTCCAAAGTCGCAGTCCTGGCCTGGTTGCAAATGAAACGAATGAATTCTTCTATATCAAATCACCTTAGTAAAAGGTACTACAAATAGCGTAAGAGCATATTACGATGGCTTTCCAAATCTGGGGAATAAATAACAATCTATTCCATACAAGCAAAAAGGAAACTCAGTAGCTTCCTAGGAGGTGTAAAATTGTAGCCTATAAGAACCTAAGCATTCGAACACACTAGAAATGCGAAGTGCTTCAGGAAACACAATCGTACTTTGATGCTGGCAGATGCATTTGACCTCCGACCGGTCAGGTTGCGATAGATGCTGCGATTCAGTTTGCTCAGAGTAGGACTCGGATAGAGAAGGAATTCGCTAAGGCAATCTAGTGTAGCTTTAGAGAGGTAGGGAGTGTGCTGTGGTAGTTGACCGACACACTCAAGCACCACGACGAGCAGACCAGCATAGGCGTTTGACTGCTGTTGACGACAGGCACGGTAGTGATTGCTCAACTCGCCATGAAGAGTACCGCAGTTCTGAACCGTGTCGTATGGTGAGGGTGAGAAAGACCCCGGAGTTGTTGGTGTCAAGGCTGGAGCTGGTGGATCAATTGCTGATTTCATTCGCTCCGTCAGGCGATTCAGCAAACTTTCCGCATCTAAGCCAAGGTAAAAGTGACAAGACATTGTCAACATAAATACAAGAGGAAAAATTACTTTGAGCAGGTATACGGGAATAGATTGGAGAGTGATGATGATCAAAAAAACTGGTTTAGAGTTGAGTTGAATGCACAAACCCTTGTATTCAGTTGCGGTTTGCGCAAGAATTTGAAGGCAGGTTGCAAGAGAAGAAATGACCAGCTCAAAGTCAAACATTTTGGCGACCACAATGTCAAAATCGAGACGCGGGGGAGTGGATGATTGTTGTAGACGACCAGTCAGTGGTGGCACACCTTTAACGCCGTCAGTCGAATTTTGTTCAGGCAGGAAGAAGTTTCGCCTAACATCTCTTCGCGACTGGTGGTTAACCTCGTCAGTCTACATATAATTTTGATTAAACCATCAGTAAACAAGTAAATAATCTAATCTCAAAAAAAACTATTCTCAGACCCCGACTATCGATTACGCCCTTGTTTTATGTTGTTTCATAAGGAGGCAAACAAGTATTGTAAGTTGGTTTATCTTTATTAAAAATTATTCAGTAAAGTCAATAAATCAATAACAAACCAAACCTGTTCTGGACTCCCCGAAAAGCGCATCCTTAAGAGGTGTTTAGGAATCACAAACCAGAAAAATGCAGTATAATGTCACACAGAAATAAGGTCACTTCACCTCAAGTAGCCGAACAATGTTTACCGTGAAATGGGTAATGATAGGTCATGTGAAAAAATTGTATTCCCAGAAAAGGTGTGCAACAGTATGGACCAAACCCGATGACAAATGCTAAAACTCACTATGTTTCCACACTTCACTCCGTGAAAATGCATAATAAATCAGTGTAAGTTGTCACGTTTTCAGATACTTATGCTAAGGGTACTTCCCGCAACAGAGGAAGGCAGCACGTCGGCTACTGGTCTTGAGACGTACATAATTTGCTGTTCGCCCATAGTTAACTGGACCTGAAGTCATAGAATGCCATAAAGATGGGTCGCAAGGGCGACAATCTTTAGGAATCTGTGAGGGAGGGGGTGGACTCGAGGTCGCTCAGCTACTCACACCTCAACAGAACAAGGTCTTGAGGAGGTAAGCTTGTTCACAATGTGGCATTGATAACCTCAAGTTTTTGCATGTCACACTACAGCACACTTTTGTTTCATCGAGCACAGTTGGTTTAACCAACTTTGAAACACTGCATCACCGTCAAATGAGATTGAAGTGACTGACCAATAGCAGGAAGCACTGACATCAACAAAACATCCCATTTTAACAGGATTCATTTTTTAAACCCTAACAAAGACATTACCTGTACTAACTGTGCAAAAAAATGGTCTGGAAACAGTCAACATTGATTATCTTCCTACTCAATAGTTTGTTCAAAAACAACAATAAGGCACGCAAACAAGTAGTCAGAAGGATCTATTCGTCTAATTATATGAGACTCAAAAGACCGGTACAACCTTAAACAACTTCGCTCATTTGGAGGAAAATTCACAAAGAATATAGTTGACGTTACCATAACCTTAAGCCGTGCTATCAGGCAACCCAAGGTCACTGAAACGACGAAAGGCAAGCAATGCTGTCGTATGAATAGGAGTAGTGACTGAAACAGTTCTACCGCTGAAATCGTTTTCAGCATGATAAAAATATAAAATTTATTATAGCGGTTCAAATAGAATCGTGTGTGCTGAAAGATGACAAACAGAACTAGCGTTATCACATAATTTAAGTTAAAATGCCAAGCAGTCGGACTTGGCTTTCGAGTGCAGAGCTAGGGACGCTACTTGCCAGACAAATTCTGTAGTCATGGTAAACGAGAGACAAGAAGAAAACCACAAACCGCTCTATCGATTGGTTGCTTTTGGCCAGAGCCATCGTCAACGCAATTTTGATCATAATGCACAGATGAAGAATCGAGCACCGCAAAAGTGCTCTCGTCAGCTGCATCATCCATATTAGTCGATAGTGGAGAGTGTCGGGTATCCGACATAGCCTTAAGAGGAGTTTCAGGGTCCCATTCTCGACACGCATCCTGAGAATGGGCGAAGGTTGCTGAGCGCCGAGCCACTTGAGATGTTACTTCAGCAACCAAATTGACCTGCTCAACGTAGTAAGTGGAGTAAATATCCTCGATTATAGATCGAACAGTAGATACTAGTTTTTCGTTGAATTCTACGAATGAAGAGTAAAAAACAATCTATTGAATAAAAATGCAGAAAAATGATCCATCAAGCAGCCGGAAGTTTACTTTGTTTTTTGTTTCGCAAAATATCACGGAAAAGGAGGAGGTAACACAGCCGAAAACAACTGCCAAAAGAACGGTATGGATAACTACTCCCTCGCAGTCGACGCTGCAAAAGAATAAATCAGGACGTAAGTCAGTTCCGCCAAAATGACTTGTACCCTTCCTAGTAATATCCTTAAAATAAAGTAATCAAAATCACAGTGGTAAAGAGTGCATTCCGATGTATGGTTAAAAAATAACCACTGACAAAAAATTTTATTTATGGCAAGCAAAAAAAATCATATTTGTGAACTGGAAACCACATCTTTGGCGTGGCTAACATAGTTTATATCAACTACGCACTACTCGTGTGTGTGTAACCAACGATGTCCAAGTTTGTCGTTCACTTCCACCAAAAGAACGCTGTTACTTACGCGCCAAAAAAGGGCTGCTAAGGCATCAAGCCACTTAATAAGACGTTCTTGGAGGAAAACCGTGGCCTAAAATGAAGAACAAATGATAAAAAGGGTCAAGCAAGAACGAACTTGTGTAGTACAATCAATCTTTTTCAGTGATTTCGTACCATCTTTAGAATGGTCTTCATATGGCTAGTCGAAAAAGTAATCATGTCGAGATCCGCACAGTCGTTCTCCTCATCAGGATTGAGAACCGCGCGGTGGGGTAATCGGCTGCCGTAGACGGAAGCGACACTGCACAGTAGATATTCACTGCCCTTACGACTTAGCCAACAACGACCACTCCCAACATTGGGTGTAGCACCTGCCTTGTGGGCGAAGGAACAATACGTTCCAGCCGAACGAACTACATCTGAGAGTGACTTCTCATCCAGCGCATCCCCTTCTTCTGTTGGCCGACGCTTACCACAAGCCTCGCAGGTTGACGGAGGACTGCTTAGAGCTTATAGAAGATAAATGCAGCTTTTAGCAGTCGCTAGAAGGCGGAAATCTGCCAAAGTTATGATAAATGGTAAGAAAGTAATGTTATCATCCAAAGTTTGCGATATGAAATAAACTGGAATGGGTAACAGGCATTCGTGCACCTAATAAAATTACGGCAATCAATTAACAAACCAAGCTACAGGGCAAGCATAAATACAGACCGCTTAGTAAAAATGAATCAAGGACTTCATATAATGAAAATGCATTTAACAATTCGTGATTGAAAGACTGCCAACAAGAACACTATGATCAATCAACTACATAAAAGCTAAAAAATCACTGATATTAGCTCACACTCGCGATTAATCTTGCGCCGGCCCAACCTACTGGCAAGCGACTTTGGAATTATAGACCGAAAATCCGGGATAAATGCTCTGATTTGTTCGAAATCCGGTTGAATGATCACATTACTAGATCGTTTCGGGGCCCCTAACGCTGACGGAAAGAGAGCCGAGACAATGCTACGATGACAACTGCGAGGCTTGAGTGCCCGACCAAGTCCACGTAAAAGGCCTAACAGGGAAGGTGCCAGGAACGAGCATACACGATCAATGCAGGCCCATTGAGTGCTATTTAACAAACAGGATTCTGATGTCGGCACAGGCGAAGCGCCGCCGATTTTTTGGCGAATTAAATTTGTCAAGGTTTGAAAAGGTTCGATTAACTGCTGATAGTTGTCTTCAAGAGCTGAGATTAAGCCTTGAGCCGATTCCAGAATGGTTGTAATAATCTAGAGGAACCACAACATACAATGAGAAGGGTTATGTGAAATGGGCAAATTCGCTGACATATTTATTATAAGCAGCGAGATGAAGAATGGCATCGAAAAGCCGGTGCAGAAAAAATAATAAGCATGCAAATGCTAAATGGGACGTCGAACATGTAAGGCAGTGGGTACATATCCACTTAATGGAAACCTATGTGCACGCGGTAAAGAGCTCCTAAAGGTGGCTTAAAATGTGTTAAGCGGACAAGAGATAGACCATTCGGTTCGCATAAAAGTATCTCGAAGAGATAGCATGTGATGCCCTCATTAAGACAACCTTGTCAAAAGACGGCGGATGAAGAATAGCCACTTGCGTTAGTATACTTGATAGGCAAAATGCGAAACACTCCGCATCAGGCAGGCCTAAATACAGAGAGATTAGGGACCAAAAGACTTGCGATCAGATTTCCTCGATTGAGCCTCCTTAAAGGGCATAGAGCATTTCACAAGCACTTTCTGAGCATTCAGTAGCACTGGCAAGGTCTTATCAACGAACTAATAGTATGAGAGAACCCAAAATGTGTATTACTGAAAGATCCGATTCAATAAGATATATGCCCAAACTGATAAGAGCACATTGTCGATCACCATCTAAGTTGAAGCCGGCCTTAGCATCATTTGGCAAACAAAGATCATGCAACCGTGAAATCTAAAATTGATGAAAATTCAATTTAGGCAGAGCAGCCAATGTGCAAGGTGTGCCACTTAAAATACATACCATGCTCCAGTCATCACAGCCAACTAAATTTCTGGCCAAGCTTAAATAAGATGTCTGAGATAGCGATTCCAGACTGTTCGACATTTTCTCAAAATCAAACTACCCATACGCAAGGACCCAGAGCTCGCACCCTCTGCCCTTAAGGTAGCTCATTCAAAGTAATTTTGTTCACAATTTTGCCTATTTTATAGACAAAATGTAACAATTTGCCCTGTACACCACATTAAATACTACATGCTGACAAGTTGACTTTATTTTACTTACTTAATTGCCAGTATAAGTGACAAGCAAGTTTAACTAATCTAGAGTCCTACCTAAATTACTCTTCTGTCCTTTTTGTTAAAAGCCATGTACCAAGCTATTTATGCTTCTCTCTGGCAATAAGTGGAAAGCGCTGGATGTTGTAAATGCTGTAATTCAGTGTGATATTTGATATACGTTATTACGAAGGTCTTTGTATCAAATAGCTTACTGGTACCTTTTCATGGCACGCTAACATGAATGTACCTATAGACGCAAAGATGAACTGATTGTACTATTTTTCCTAATAACTTGAGCTAAGCATGTACACGTTATCGTTTGGCGCTTGGTCATCTGTGAAGTTGAGAAACCAAATATATGTAAGTGTAGAGGGACTTATGGGTTTTAACATTGCCCGATGGCAAACTCACTCAATGAAGATAAAGAAAACTAACCGCAGGCACATGCCCGACAGAGTCGATCAATATTAGAACCAATTGATACGTTGTACGCTTTAATACAACCAAGCGCTATTAATTGGTCGTGAGTATTGACTCCCCACATTTTCCACTGGCTCACGTAATTCGAACCCCAAGACTGCAATTTACACACTGATTTTTTCCCCTGCAGCTTTATTTTATTGGCACTTGCAGGGCTTGTTTGTATAAAAGCACATACGTGATATTTGATTCTAACATTCTTCGATCCCATAGGACGTGTGCCTGCGTTTAGATTTGTGTCATCATTGAGTGAGTCTGTCGTCTCCCTAGTGACCCCCAGAGGTTTCACCTAACCGGCAGCACCCACAGCCCATCTACCAAAACCAATAAGTCTTCTTAGGCCGAAATGAAAAAAATCACCCACCAGCTAGACTAAAACATGACCTCGTTTTTGTGCAATGGCTACTTGCAAATACAATTTCAAAGGAACTCGAGTATTGGCCTCTAGGTATTGTTCGAAGCTCTACTGAGAACCATCGCATATTCCCTTCCCGCAGATCTAAACCCAAAGGTTAAAAATGAGCCTTTAGTACTGTCAGCCACGTAACCTTGAAATCTAGTTTGGAGCAGAAGACGGACAATTCTTTGTTTATTTTAACGAATAGAAACAGGAAATCGCGAAAGCAAAAGTCTGCCAATATCTTAAACTTGCTCCGAATAAGCATAAGTTTAAAGACTCCTTCATAATTTGAAGGCATGCACTGTAAGCTGGTTCATCTTTATTGTCCCTCATTTCCCAGTGCTTATTTACCTATCCCTTTCATTTGCTTCTGTACCATTGCTTTTAGCAGATAAAGACTGAAAAACATCGGCAACCGAGACCGTCAATAATTGAACTGACCCAACGTTTGGTTCCCCATTATTACACAGTTTTTAACGTAAGGGTTAAATCGGCGGATTGTCGCACCAGCAACCAGAAAGCGAGGTAGTAAGCCACACGAAGCACAGGTGAACCGCCTGACCATGCCTTTTGGGACAGACCTCCAGAAGAGGCCTCACCTCATTCATATGCCCCAGGCGCCGCCCCATCAGGATGACTCACACGCTCGCTGCTAAGACAACAAGGCTGCAAAAAGAGCACGTCGACCACACCATGCTCTGTTGCGTGAAGGCAACTATGACTACCAGTAGTGCTCGTCATACTCGCATGGCGCATACTTTAAGGCCTGAAGTCACACAAGGTGACGTTTGACTAGAAAATAGACCAGATCACAAGAACAAAATGTAGTCAATGCAGTCAGTGGTTAAAATGTATGCATTGTTGCAAGCTATTTCCTTTTAAAAAGTAGAAGCGAAAAAACAAAAGCCATACTGCAAGATTCGAAGCTGAATCATCATTTGCCAGTCTCGGAGAACAAGCAGACTTAAATGAGGTTGCTGAGATAATTTTCTTGCCAACAGCAAAAAAACTGGTACATGTGTAGAGCTGTGGAGGGTTGTAACAAAGTAGAAACAGGTACGCACGTACATAAATTTCAAAAAAACTTGTATTACAAGGTAGTGACTCGCTATTGATGGACAAAATAAGCCCAAGTTATTGTAGACAAAATAACTTCCTGCAAATGTAACAATTGTACACAACTATTGAACCACTTAGTGAGGCGGCACAAGAAGTGGCGCCAAGTCAGCGACAGCGCTTTGAGACACCGGCGCTATTCGAGTATCAACAAGGAGATTGCCTTCGCTATCCTTTATACGGATTCGACCAGATGCGTAACGAGTCTCCTGTTTACCATCCTTAAAAACTGTCTTTACTGTTCCATCAGGGTAGATTCGCCGCTATTAAATTCAAACCAGAGCGTAAAAAACTAAATCAAGTGCAAAGATCCCAAGATGTTCGGACGAGAATGGAATGAGAATAGAATTTTCCATTATGTTTAGAGCTTAAAGAGGGGATGTAGTCAATATGAGTCTCATATTATGCTAATACCCACCTTAAATTTCGAGCAGTGAAGCTCTCTTTGGCCGTTGGGTAGACTGATAATCTTGTCGCCGTTAGCGAACACCTGAACATACATTCCATCTGGAAGGTTCGACCCCTCCACAGCCACTGGATGACTCGTAACTACGTTACAGTGGTCAGACCTACAAGAACTGTATACATGTCGAGAGAGAAGGTAATTGGCTAGATAAATTTGCTCCGGATTAGTTGACAGTTCAGATCTCAAAGACGCTGATTCGGAATAATTTACTTCTCAGTATTATACAAACCACCTTCCAATGAAAATGGTAAAAAAACATGAATGAATGAAAAGTAGGCACTTATAGACTTTGTTAGACCAGCATCATGACCAAATTAATTAAAGCTCAGAAAATGATACATTTTGCCTGCGTTCATCGGGTTCCGAGCGCATTCCTGGTGTTTGTTTCTGTGCACTATTTCCTAGTCGCTTGGCTCGAGAAGGACAGGTGTCGGCCACAATAAATGAAACCGAAATTTGGAAACGTGTAACAATGAGATGAGGTTCCTGTGAGTCAAATTTCCATAACATTTGGTCCAAGATCGTATTGGATAAACAGTTGCAAGATTTAATTAAAAATCAAAACTAAGTATAATGCAACACTTACTCCTTGTAGATTGTTTCTTTGATGCCGTCAGGAATAGTTTCTCCTGCTGTACCGTCGGATGCATAGTTGTGTATCTAGCAGCGTACAGATGTGTGTGGCAGTCTTTCAAGTATTTAGAGCGAAAAATATCAAAACATACAACAGTGAGCAGAGAAGTTACCTCTGTGAATATTATATAAAGAATCCGCTCTTGAGATAACAGAGGGAACAAATCGTAGGCTCACAATAAATTGAGGGCTGTTGCATCAAAAAGTCATAATTACTTACAATGGACTCGCCCTCCATCTTTTGTCCACCATCACTGTTGGAAAGGAAAACCACTCCCTTCTCTGTTTTGCCAACATATGTCCTCGTTGCTGAACCGTCAAATTGCACGCGTTCCAACTAAAAGCATAGCAATTCGATGGCACAATAACTATTTTGGAAAAGGCTAACACACAGTTTAGTAAATGTTTCCTCTGACGGCAAAATAGCCACATTTCTATAGCGACATTTTTTAGTGAAATTCTGTGAGTGATAATTTTCAATGAGAAAGAATAACTAATTACGTCAGCTAAAGTGGGCGGTTAAGCAAAACCTTACATTGAATTCCCTTAAGGGATCATGATGGCTTACAGAAACGTCTGGGCGATGAGTTTTGCCAATGACGGTTTCACAATTCCGACTTGAAACCGCAAGCAACGGACGACACTGAGTGCTAAATTTCAGACATTTAGAGGGAATAAGACCACAAAACTCGGCAGCTAGACATCCATGCAGCAAAATAGCAGCTAACTTTGCGATGTCATCTTCACCCTTGGCGGATTCCGAAACAACCATGTATGTTTGTGCTCTCTGCTGTTTTGAGTGTGTAGAAATGGCAGCAGAGGTGCAAGGAGGGATACAGGTAAACAGAGGCTTAGGAAACTCCGTAGCTCCTCCGCCCGAGAGGGCACTGGTGGATCTAGAGAGAAGCAGATCCAAAGGCATGGAAGCACTATTCCCTGAGTTTGCGCCAGCGGAAGCCGCTCGTGTCCTTTGGGTCTCACCATCAAGCATGTTCTCCAGGATCTCATCACGAGAATTGATGTTGACAACTTGAGAAACAGAATCCAGCCGATTCTGATTCTTAGATATAAGAAAATAAAAGAAGCTCGTGACACATCACGAGGTGTAAATTGGCTCTATACCTACCTAAGAATTGGTAGCAAAACTATAATGTTCATATGAAGGATAAACATGCAGGTAGGGTGAACATTTAAGGGGAAACCACGGCTAAAAATAAGACAAAAAGACCACAAGTTATCATTAACCTATTGACTACAGCACCAATAATGTGGAAGAAATTAAAACCAAGGTAAAAACAATTCAGTTATGTATTAAGAGAAGTATCGTTGTAAATATGAACGGGCCTCCTATAAAGACATAATGAGTTTTGTGCTTCCCGCTTGAAAAAATGTGGTCAATGCTTGTAAGCCAAATTCATTTAACATAATCACGTATTTGTTGAGTTCATTTGAAGTTTTCAAAGCTTGGTTAGCCCTTTCCCCGAAGATCGAGCTCCGTAATATGAGTTGGGCCTGTTCCAACCGTTTGATACGTTCCATTAATTCAGCCTTATCGGCCGTTAGCTCTTTTATTCGCATTCTTTGGCGACTGAGCTGATGCTGAAGACGCAGTTCTCGTTGCGCAGACTCGGCCTTCTCCTCACAAATCTACGTTTGAAAAGACAACTTCAATCCACTTGCATTCGAACCCATAATGTGGAACGTAACACGATAAACTACCTCCCGAAATTAGATAAAATGCTTGCAAAATCGCCTGTTCACATTGGTAAGCATCAGCGTTTACAAATGTATAGTTATTGCTTCATCAACAACATCAAGTTATTTTCAAGGAAGTTAGTGAGTACTAAAATTTACCTGCTGTTTTAATCGATCAATTTCTTCGCGATCACGTTTTGATGGCACGTTGCGCAAACTTCTTTGGTAGTCAGACAGCACCTTTCGCTCCTTCCTGTAGATGAATCAAAAGCAAGCTGAGATTTGGTAGGGACCCACGTATGCTTATAGTTCGCATATCAACTAGAAGTGTTGAAATTTTCGGGTACCGCCTCTGACTGGAAGTCCTCTTTGGGCATGGTATCGTTACCTGTGACAGCTTAGAAAGCGCAACAAAAATAGTGAAAAATGATAGCTTTTAAGCTTAGTTCACAAAGGAAGTTTAACAAAAAAGTGGTTCATAGCAGTTAGTAGAAACTGTTCCGACTCAAGATTGCAATGTCATGACGCCAAAAGTTTGAAGATGCAACATGGCAAGAGATCCGGTTTATCGAGCGGCCATACGTACTTGAGCTTGATTATCTCCTCCTGTCGGAAGGTCTCAAAGTCCTTCATTGTAGTTGTCCTGTATTCCTCAAATTCCTTTCTTTCTTTCTTTAGTGCAGAGAGAGCCTGATTTGTGAGAAACACCAAATTCAATCGATATCAGAAGTAGAAGCCGTGCATCAAACACCTACATAACTGGTTCGCTTAAAATGAATAACCAATTCGGTAAATACGAAAACTGATAAAACGGAGTTAGGGTAAAGGGTCGTAACGTAACATGGCAACACAGCCACCCAATAGAGGGTGCTCAAGGCTCAAATACCATTGTTACCTACTTCCTCTCTTTCCATTTTAAGCTTTACCAGGGCTGCATTTTCGCTATTGAAACGGTTAATCTCGGCTTCCAGACGCGCTATCCAAAGCTGGATGGTCGAAGGAGACGAACGGTCACAAACATCACTGGACTGATAACAAGTAAAGGAATATACAATGAATAAAAAGATATAACCAAGGATTATTAAACTATTGTAGATCGACAACTTCACAAATAAGAAGTGAACGAATAGTAGCTGACTGGTTCCACAGATCTCTTGGGGAATCATTTCAATGTAGTTTCTGCATATCCCTACGTAGAGCTCTAATTCCATTTTATATTTTCATGCCATTTATGAGGATCAACAAAGGATGGTGTTCAAGCATTACCAAGTTTAGACTAACATTGGAGGCGTTTCCATCTCCAAGCTTAGGCCTGTGACACTCGCTCCGTGTGTTGAAACATGCGCTTGAGGGGAGGTGCCGTCGACTAGGATTCGATTCTCATACAACAAAATAGGATTTGAAATTATAAGAAGTCAAGCCAATAAGGATCAAGCTAAGCAGATTAGCAAGCAAACGAACAGCAATATTGTACTGGACCACAAAACAATGACTGTCATCCTAATAAGAATACAAACTGTTGTAACATTTCAACCCAAATTAACTTTATTTGAGCAAGCAAAACAAAGTGACTAAATTTCATAACTGATCAACATCTCATAATGTTCTAAAAGTCGACGAAATCTTACTCTTTGAGGCCTCAGTGATAGTCTCGTCTTTCCTTTGGGTATAGTCACATGAATCAAGAGAATTCGACTTTTTAGTTGGACAAACATCCGCAGCAAGGTTTTGTGCTAAAGACTGGCAACTTTCGTAACAAGGGTCTTTGAGGCATTTCGAATCCAGATTGCTGATATGAAAATTGGGAGTGAAGCGGCAGATTCTACAAGAACAAACAAATTTCAAAAAGGCAATAAGAGACACCCCATAAGTGGGGTTAAAGTGCACCATGAAATAACCAACCAAGAACAGGAAGCTATGCGACTCATTTGCAGTCTATAAAAATTTGGCAAAGAATTATCGAGGACACTTTTAAGGTCGCAAATTCCACACTTGCAACTCGAAATTAATAAGCATAGCGATAGATCGGGCATGTGAGCAATAAAGTTAAGTAACAAGGAAAACCGATGTGTCTGTTCGTCACATGAAGCGGCGCAAGTGATAAAGCAACATACGCCTCCCCTGAATTGTCTCCATGAATGGAGTTTTGAGCAGCCATGAGTGCATCTTCCTCGTCCGTAGCAGGTAGAGAAACACACCTTCCTATAGGCACCATGGTGTCAGATATTCTTTTCGATTGTTTACGATAATGACTATCTTCCAACTCATTGCTGTTGCATCCGCACTGTTGCTTTTCAGTAAGGCGTTCCAGCAACTCGAATTCTGCCAGCTCTCTGTCGTAAACAGCAGAGTGCACTTGGTCACCCTTATTCACAGAAGAACCCTCTCCTGTATCATTCCGAAATCGCGTTTGACGGTTTACCTTGTCATCACAATCACTTAAAGCAGCGTCTAAACCCATATTGACTGTATTACATTAGGTGAACTGCCTACAGCATTCCCCAGAGTTTTTGTAATCACGTATCTCTTCGACTGTTTCTGAATTGGTTGCATTGTGGGTTTGAATGGTCGCAGAGACATGTGGTGGTAATAGTACAGGTCCAGGGTTTACCGTCGCCCCCACAGGACGCAAACGGCAACACCACGCGGCACGGCCCTGGTTCTTGCGCAGAAACGGTCGCTTAATTTGCTCCGAGGATTTATCAGAGCCTAGAGATACACGGGTGCAAACCTAAAAACATTGCAGAAAGTGTGTTAAAAACTAAAACAGAAATGTTTCAAGGATACATCTCACAGTGGCTTAAAATTAAAATTGTGCCAAAGATAACGGATTAGAATATCATAACCAGCCGACAATACAACTATAAATAGTAACTACCAGCAATATATTAGCAAAAACTAAGAGAAATGCCAAACCTCACATTATAATAACTCACATCTTGGGTGTTTTGATAATATTTCAGTAACTTGGCTGCTTTAATGCACTTATCGTTTGTATCGGTAGCGTCTGCCTGGTTTAGCTTCATCTTCGACGGAAGACGCTTCTCCACAACAAAAGTATTTAGTGTATCTTCAGGAAAGTAATCAAGGTGAACTCCAGAACATGATTTGGACCCTTTAGGGCATTCTCCAAGGCAAGCAGTCATACCTATGCACCGCGAGCAAGATCACCCACCGGCAACACATAGTAAGCTTACAATTTTCGCCCGGAATATAAAACATTAAAATAACTGCATGATGCTCGTGTAATCAAGGGCTTTTTACCTTTATAAATATTGGAATATCAAGCAATTTTTGATAGTTTGAAGTACGAAAGCGTGATGCCTTGGAGGTGAATGAAGTAATTAGCATTCAATTTATAAGTTATTTGTTAAGCGTTTTACGCAACTTTTAAGGAAAGATTATTATGTCTATCTTCTTAAGACATTTGAAATTATTGTGCTTGCCCCTCTAAGTTCAAACTATTGGCTTTAGCTGTGCCATTCTTCAATCAACCGTTATGAACTTTAGACTCATATAATCTTAATATTCGATCAACTGTACCCCACTGTAATGCTTATCGAACCTTATGAATCGCATGAATTTGCGTTTGTTATACTTTATTTGTGTGATCGCACGACATTTGGCGCTCACCTGCGGATTTGCCTCACTCTTCTGCACGTGGGTTGGCTTTCGGGACATGCTGAAGCTCAGTTGCTCCTTCCCCTTCGAAATACATGTATCCAGCCTCAAACGGCCTTCTTCCACTTTATGGAAATCTCGAGACGCTACAAGGTCTTCGTACAACCCTAATTCTACTCTAGGGGCTGCTTGCATAGCTTCATGCCCTTGAACCACGGACTTCAAGAGAGGGTTTGTTGCAGTCGATTTATTAGGCATTGGATACAGGAATAACGGGGATAGGAGTACAGATCAGTCGAATAGTCGATACCACCTGGAGAAGGATTTCTCACGTTCCTCACGCATGGTATTCGCGTTCCAGTTCTGTTTCCCCACCTCCTTATCAAGGTTAACTTAACCGCTCCATTAAATATTACATTGCCAAAGGTACCTACTTATCCAGGCAACATGACTGATTTTGTATCGCGTCAAGACATCTTTATTTATAATGAGGGACGGATCAACACGATCAAAATGGTGTCACCAATAATGTCGGCTCCTAAAAAACTTTCATTACATAGGCTCTCGCTTTTCGTGAATGACTGACATCTGGCGGGCTACTATAGGCTTCGTCTGGCCCACATAGGCATGGGCTGGCCTTCGGGCCAGGCTAATGTCTAGTATCTTTGTTCACCCTGGAATACATGCATTCCGAATGTATTAGCTTTTTTGTAGATGTAATACATACTAGTGTTTAAGTTGACCCTGATAGGAGAGATGCAGGAACCAGAGTTGGAACGCAAATCAAATGCGTTAGGACCACGAAGAATCCTTCTCCGGGCGATGTTGGCTCATATGTACGCCTATCTCATTCTTCCCGTATCCAATGCCCAATAAATTGACTGCGGGTGTGCGTCCATCCGCTTTGGCAGAACAACTGGTGCGTACGAGAAACAACAAAGTGAACAGTCTTCAAGCGCCAGGAGCTCCAATTCTCAGGGGAGTTCAATACCCGATTTCGCCCATGGGTTCCCAAAAGATGGCCAATTACTGGCCGGAAAAGGCGCGCTTTCCGCTCTTTGTCATATCTGCTTTCCTCAGGATCTCCTACTTTTATGCGTGTACGGGGCGAGACAGCAGGTCAAACATGCTCTTTCTTTCTGGACTGGGGGGCAGCCCGTTCTCTACTAAGTCCACAAGCCTTCTCCATGGTTTGCGGCAACGTTAATATTACCCCACCGGCTACTAGGCTACGCTCTACATAAGAAAAAGAAATTTCGGTAATAGGAGACGTACTGCTAGGAGCCGACTTCTTATGCTAGTCTCGCGCGACTATGGACCTCGATACAGCCATGCTCATAACCCATCGAAGGTCCAAAAAGAAGCGTTTGATCTCTAAGCCGAAGGTGCTGATGACGTATGCAGGTCCCTCGTCGTCGCCCTTGTTGTACCCGGGACAAATCTAAACTATCCCTGTTCCCATCTAGAACAGGTTGTTGAGGCTGAGAGGAAGGAACTGCACTCACTCCTGAAAAATTGCTCACAAGTGTTTTCCTGGGATGACGCGAAACTTGAACGAATAAATATCGATTGATCGACGAGATGCTGCGTGATAACGTTATCAGGCCCTCCCAGTCTCCCCGGACCTTCCTTATCGTATTAGTTAGAAAGAGCGACGGCAGTAACGAAGTAAGATGCGTTCCCTCCACCCCACATTAGCGACTCTTTGGACTCTGCAAGCAGCGAAGTGGTTCTCGACATTGGATCTGAAATTCGGGTGCTGGCGGGTGGAAGTAGCGGAGAAGGATCGAGAAAAAACAGCATTCGTCGTGCCAAATGGACGATATGAGTTCCAAACGCTGCTTTTTGAGCTTTGCAACGCGGCCATCTCCGGCGACTTATGTAGATGGCATTATCCATCTGGGCAACATCCTCGTTTTCAAGAAAGACATCAAACATTAGTAGTGGATCGCCTTCGGGAAGCAGGTCTGCCGCTGGGGCACACAATTTCTGCAGATGGGATGGTGGTTACGGAAGACAGAACAAGATAAGTGAGAACTTGGTGATCGATACCCACAAATCAAATGGAACTTCGCAGCCTCCTTGGCTTGGCTAATTATTATAGGCGTTTTGTAAAGGGTTTCTCCAAGATCGCAAGTCTCCTATGCAAGTTGGCAGAGAAACAGGCAAAAAAAGACTTTCGTTGGGAAAACAAACGCATAGAAGCATTTAAGGAGCTGAAGCGTACCCTTTGCGTGGCACCGATCTTGACTTTAACAAACTTCAATGCCGAGGTCCCTCCTTTTGTGCTGGATACAGATGCAAGCAATGTGGTGGAGGGTGGAGTTCTATTTCAAAGAAGCAAAGACGAGCGAGAACATGTGATCGCGTATGCCAGCACACGTCTAAGCAAAAGATGAAACAGAAGAGTGCAACAGAACGGGAACTTTTCGCTATTTATACAACAGTCAGGCATTGTAAATACTACTTGATAGGAAAGCAGTTCGTTGTGAAGACCGATCATCAGGCACTGACATGGTTGAAGACGATGAATGAAATCGACCGCTCGGTTGCAAGGTGGTACGAGGAGCTCCAACAATATTATGTTATAGTGCAATGTAGGAAAGGAAGCTCTCACGGCAATACTGATGCTCTGTCACGGAGACCCTTATCCCTGTCTACGGATGGCCACTCAGTAGGTGCGCTGTTATTGAGCGAGCCTGCTTCCCATCACTGGAGAAACATGCAGAGCGCAGACTTCGATACAGCTGTAGTTTATGAAAGACTAAGGACATCTTCAGTCAAACTCACAGTTGAGAAGATGAGGTCGGCGAGCGAGAGAGCCTAGCAAGTATGGCAGAACCGAGGAAAACTCTAGAAGACGATGTTATATGGTACAAAGACGATAATGCGGCAGACCTCGTAGTACCAGGTTCCTGGATGCAGACATCCCTGTTGGAATTGCATGAACAACTTGGCCATGTGTAGGACAGGAAGATGCTCGAAGTCGCAAGGAAGAGGTATTGGTGGCCCTCGCTGACAACGGATGTCTCTGATTTTCGTCGCGCATGGGTCACGTGTACCAGCTTGAAGAGCTCAACTCGTACGGTGGTTGCCTCTCTACAGCCGATGTTCGCGGGCGTTCCAGGGGAGCGAGCAGACTTAGGTAATAATAGGCCCGCTTCTCACGACTCCGAGAGAGAAGTGTTATATTTTGGTGATGGTAGACAATTTCACCAATCTTGCGGAAAAGGACAAATTGTAACCTTGTCGACTTATTGAAGGCCTTGACCAAAGAGGTGCAGCCCGAGGATTGGAATCTATACCTAGGACGGGCCCTCCTCGCATACCGAACCTCTGCTCACACCTTGACTGGAGCCTCATCATTTTAGGATGCTCATGGGCCGGGAAATTAGAACTCCTTCTGATCTTTCGCTCCCTCGTAAGAAATCGTCAGTGGATAGCACGCCTCAGTACGTCTTGCGACTAAAGGAAAATCTTAGGAAAGTGTTTGAAGTCGCGCAGACAGCTGAAGGAAGCAGACACCAGACAAAAGAGGTGCTACGGTAGACTGAGCCGAACAGACGTCTTTAAAGAGGGCGGTTTGGTGCAACTGTAGAGACCAATCTCCCCGCCAGGAACCCATCGGAAATTGAAACGCAAATCCCATGCATGAGGACTGTGAGGAATTCCTCTTCGGGTGATATTGACTATTCGGCTCATCTATACTCCTATCCCATTCTTCCTGTGTCCAATGCCCAATAAATCGACTGCGACTAGCCCTTTCTTGAAGTCCGTGGTTCGAGGGCGTGAGGGTAGGCAGGCAGTAGAAACCAGAGATGGTTCAGATGCCGAAAGCAGCTAGCATCTTTAGCGGTTTTGTCTTGGTGCAATTTGGGTGTCTCCCATCCGCATCATTAACGTTTTGCTCCGTAACAGACAGGGTAGGAGTTCTGGCAATGTCTTCTCGTCAAATTAAAAATTCGTTCTGGAAACAGTAGGAAAAATGGTGTAATGAAAACTTTTGTATTACATGTCTACGTTTAGGTTGGCCTTTGGAGGGAAGAGGATGTAATGCTTTATGTGGCAACCTGAAGTATGGCGGCCACCCTAAATTTGGGTGGTCCTCGTACTCCTGGGCTGGACTTTGGGTTATGCTCATGTAATGCTTTGTTTATGTGACTACATGGCGTTTGGCGATCACTGGAATTAGTCTGTTGCTTGTACACATGGGCTGACCTTCGGACCAAGCTCGAGACCCATTTCTCCTGTTGCCTTTGCAATACATGTATTAAACCTCACTTGCGCCTTCTTCCACCCTATGGGAAGTCTTGGGACGCCACACTTATGGCAGTATAAAGCGAAAGCGACATTTTTTAACGACTTTTAGATGTAAGGTGCTTTTGAAAGCGACATAGTGTGCGGGAAAATTGGGCACACAACAGACACCGCTGTCTTACTGCCATCCTACGTTTGTGTTGCTAAACTTTTCCAATTAGTTGACTGATTTCCGGAAAAGAACAGTACGGACAAACCGAATAGCAACGGTTCGATCGGATGATGCACTGGTTAAATACATGCAGATACCCCAAAAGCGGGAGCCCTCGGTCGAAAAGTCGAAACATCTCTTTTCACGACAAGGGTTTTATAATCCAACCGGCAGACAAGACTGCAAAGGGATTCTAACTTTTATGGAGAAATCCAAGATTAATAAACGCATTCTGGCAATCATGAGCTATACATGCGTAAAAAGAAGTCTGGCTATCAAAGTGCGGTAGATGAAGATACACGCAAAGTCACGTAAATTGAAGGAGACGCATTTATCTTGTTGATGGAGAATCCCTAAATCCTTCATAGCGAAAAGATTTAGACTGACGTCTGCATTTGGTTTCACCTTAGTCCCGTGTTCCACAGACAAGTTATTAGCAGCTAAAGCGACACCGCCGTGAACTATCTGGAATAGTTTCATGTCGGAATTCTCCATACAACATTCGTGCTTATGTGTCGGAAATGACACCACGGTTCTCCTCGCATACAGGACAGTGGTTCATCCCGTTTCCCCCATAACATATATGTTTTAGACCAGAGTTCCACCGTCTAGTCCTGGAAGCAATTGATGGTCAACAGGTGTAGGCGGTCCCGAATCTCGTTGTCAGACCGAACGCAACTCCAGATCCAGTTGAAGCTGCAGAGGAGACCAGGTACGGTTCCTCAGTCTCGTGTTGTCTGTCGACTGGCGCGGTTGGCTCGTGGGTGCTTTCTTGTAGTAGTACCGAATATGTTGAGATGGCTGACGTGGGAGGTGCACCAAGAGGGCGCCGAGGACGTCGCTCAAAAGAAGAGAGGGGCAGTGTAATGCTTTGTTTGCGTGACTACCTGACGTTTGGCAGTCACTTTAGAATTTGTCTGGCCTAAAGCGGATAAAGTAACCGGATTTGAGTGTAAACAGAGTGCTGGATCACGAATACAAAGGCCAGACAAGATCTAAAGTGACCGCCGAACGTCAAGCATTCACATAAACGAAGCATTACAAAACATGCACTTTTAGCCTTACCTACTGCTACTTCCACGTAGTGGGAGGTCTAAGGATGTTACAAATTGGGCGAGCGTCTGTAGATTACCAAGAAGGCTTTAAGTTGGGCAGAACATGCGTATTCTACCTGGAGAGTGGCATAGGCTTTAAAGAGTGTACGAGTGTCCAAATGGTCAAAGTGTTCTAATTTTCAATGCATTACCACTACGTGGAGAAATTTACCAACGTTTGTATCTTATCAACAGAGCACTCTCAAACATACATAAATAAGCAAGGTAGAAATATCGCTACAGTATCAGTAAAAGTAAACAGGCCTAGCCTTTTTTACTAATTTTTTACGTTAAGTCAATATTAGAAAATTGTATATTTTGAATTTGTTTAAGTTTATTGAAGGTGATGAATTCAGTTCCAAGTGGTGTGTCTCGGGGGAATTGGTCTGGTGCATAGGGTTATATGGAAGGACATAAGCTTGTTGCTGTTTTAGATTTTGCGCATTTAAATGCGAATGTGTTTTGCTTTGGTATGGTTTTAGTCCATATAAGTAAATTAACAGATCCTGTTTGAACGTATCTCATTGTGATTGCTATCCTTGCTTGACCTCATCACTTTCCTTTTCATACTTAGCCATTTCTTGTTTGAATGGGGAGAATGCAGGTGGATACATCTTCAGTTACGGATTCTGCAGTTAATCATGGCATGTCTCTCTCTGGTATGAAATCGAAACATTTCATTTTGCATTTTTTGCGACATATGTTCATTACTATCCTTCTACACCGTGTGTTAGAAAGTGCAGATGTGAGTATTTTGCATTTTAAGCAACCACTTCAGCACAAACTTCCAATATGCATCATTTGGTTGCGGCAGCAGTGTCTACTTCAGCCTCGTCGGAATGCCACATCTCAAATCCGTCGTCACTAGGAAACTCTCAGTTGAATATGCATGTGTCAGCACACTCAGAAAATAGGACATCGGTCCGTCCGATGAAGATGTTCGGAAGTGGCATTTGCGCCTCCAATCTCATTCTTGATGGGTCCTCTTTAAATCATGGGTGTTCAGAAAGTACGCCTACGGGGACACTTAATCTAGATTTAATTGGATTTTTGGCTGATTTTAAATGCGTTATGGACTTACTTAGCTATTTTATGATTTCACTGCCATTGTTGTGCTTATTCTTCTTATCTTTGAGGTTACTTGTACCGAGTTATGTCGGATACCTCAAATTAGTTTAAAGTAGTTCAAAATAGTTAACTTTTTTCTCTGATCGTAGGTGATATTCAAAGGGATTTGGAACTCGGTTTCGAAACTCGTCTAAGTAGTTTGGCCAAGATTCCCACCTCTAGACTGGGTAAAAATAACGCAACCACTCCTGATGGTGATGGCTCTTCATCAGTTTTTCCTCCTGCTTTCACCGTTTTGCTTGGTGGCATTCCTCCGAATCTTGCTCATCGACTTTTCACATCAACAAGTTCTTCGCGAATTTTCTCACAGTCTTCTGGGTCTCTGCCGATGGCACCTTCTGCTGCAGCGATTATCGCTGCTCCACCTAATCCCGATGTCACAGGCCCTCTTTTTTTTAATTCAAGCGATTTGACTGGGGAGAACGATGCCCATTGTGTGGGTAATGTTCGATCAAGTAAGCTAAATTTTGTTTTTAAGCTAGACATACGAACAAGTCCGTAACCTATGGTATTTTTCGATACTTTATGTTAAAAATCAACATCCTTCCAGGAACTTCGAAATTCTTTTGGTCCGCGGAACTGCCTTCTGTTCTCATTGATAATAGGTCCTGTTTGATTTTGAAAATAAAGACATTTTTATTTTAGATATGGCGCAACCGTTAACAACAAACCCACATTTAGTGGCTGTGGTTGCTGCTGAAACTCCTTTGGCCGAGGTGCGCTTTCCTGTGCACACTTATATTTTATTCTGCAAAATCTAGTTTTATTGCTTGGCTATGAGGATTTGGCGAATTATGAAATTCGTTCTTATCGTACTTGTCACAGTTACGTTAACTAGAACTTGATTCAATCCGGTTATTTAGGTTGATGAGTCCTCTGCAGCTGTTGCAGAACTGGCATCTGAAGAAGCCACCGTCAGCGTGGGACAAAGCGAAGCCTTTGATGATATAGACGAATCTATACAAATTTCCGCGTCATAATTGTTTCCTCGACAGCCTTTGCACCCAGCGTTTAAGGATGAGCCTCTCTTCATACTCACGTCTTTTATACATTTGAAGGCATTTAAATATATTGTTTTGGCTTCATTTGTAAATACATTTTCCTTAACGTGTGTACATGATCGTGTAAACTTTAGTGTTTTAATCTGAATTGTGGGATCCGTTTGTCGATGAAAACATACGAATATAACGACATGATTCGTATGTGCGAGCTTCTGCCCGATCTACGTAACAGTTCATATGCGTATGTACCACTCTTTATTTGCCCTTAATGGTGGTATTTTTCAGGTAGGTGGGTTTTTTCCTGGATGGTATCGCCTGGGCAGGGGAGAGTGAGTCCTGTTCCCAAGGCGGTGGGGGTGTCGTCTTGGGTATAGTGTGGCGTTGGTTTTGCCCCATCCGAGTCCACGTAACTCCCTGATCTACGGGTAGGCGGCTTATCATTTGTAGTTCTATGAACGAAACTAAAAGTTTTAGGAAATGTATCTGCTTGATTATCCGGCTGCAGTTGTGCTCTGTCAATTTTTGTTTTGTCCAAGTATTCACAGAAAAAACAAGCGCTGCAAGAGCCCTTTTTAACTAGCATCAGATGTTTAGGGCGTGGGTTCTTCCATTTGTATTGGTCAGCTTATTAAACGCACCCAGTATTCGAAAATAAAATTATTCCGCCCAAAATACAAGCGAATCCGAACATGACTCCACAAACTGCTACTACGTGTTACGAGGGCAATTAGGTCAATCTTATCCGTATGCCATTGGCTACGGCTTTTTCTTACTAGTTATGACTTCCGAGATGTTTGGAGGCAAAATTTCACTAGAACTGCTTCATCCAATACAGGATTTTCCCCTTTAAAGATAGAAGCGGAACGCACCTACGTAAGGGTTAGGTTCTTATCCAGACTTAGAGGCTTCAGCTCTTACTAATCCAGTGGAAGCACTGCAGTGCTGTAGCCCACAATAACACAGGCTAGGCTTCTCGAATGCAATAACCTCTATTTAACATCGTCACAATGTCTGTTTATCCTGGCCATGATCAAAACAACTCCCTTAATTTGGAATGGCTGGTAAGGATACCAAGCTTCGACCACAATAAAGATTTTCAGCTAAAGGCACACCGCGTTTCTTCCCTTCTATTATATATACAATTTATCAATTACTCCAACATTTACTTGGATGATAATGGTGATTGAGAAAAATGTTAACAATGTGCCATTATAGTATATAGGATCTCGGGGTAAGAGCGACGACATACAAAGGAACTGTCACCGCCTAAATTATAAACCATAATTTTGCAGTTATGAGTGTCTGCTAGGCTATTAGCTTTAGTAAATGCGACGATGTAAACGCCGAGAGAGCCTATTCTCCCTATGCTCCCTCCTCACTCGCCAACCCTTTTAACTTAGTCTTGCATTGGCCTTGCAATTGTACGACCCCGCTGGTCTTTGGACCAAGCCAAATCACAACGAGAAAGGATGAATTAGATTGCAAATATGGAAGCCTTTCTAGCCCCTGTGATGTGGAGGAGTCAGACTTAGCTTCCGAAGCACATACTCCTTAGGTGCACCAATGTCGCTAGTGTAACACCCCGAGACTACACATTAGGTATCATTCAACCAAAATATGGAGCCGTTCAGCTACGAATTAGCCCGCAGATTAGTCCGGAGAGCTAGGAGTAAGATAAACACCAGAGAGACAGGATGTGAAACGATCCAAGAACAAGCAAAGCAAAACATTATCGATGAAGATAGGTGCCAGTACCAGACGGGCTGCCCTTCTTGCCGAACTACAAGCATCAAGCCATTTTATATCAGCACTACTCTTCGGTCTCATCGAATGTCTTCTTAATAGTGAAAAGTGTCAAGACGCTAAGCTAGTGTTATCGCAAATTATATCCTAGTGTTCTTCTCTTCCGATAAACCTTTGTGCTGTGACAGATGACCGTATGAATCAGACGGGAGATTCTCCAAATTGTTCAGAACAGGAGAGCTAAGAATGGTGACCATGTGTGGCAAAAATTACATTGCATGTTCCAAGCTCAAGCTGTCGACGCCTTAAAAGACACCTTTACGAGTCCGAGTTCCGCCTTATGTGTACGCCTTAAATACCGGTAGATATTACGTTGCCTCGCCTTCCATATGGAGGGCTCTACAGGTGATGCGCAGTGTTTATTGAGAGCAATGCTAAAAAATGCGACCATTTTTGTGCATGGCGGCCACATTGAAAAATGTCTTCCTCTTGCACCCGTGGGCTGGCCTTCGAGAGGGGTCAAAGCTAAAATCCTTCTTCTCCCTTTGGAAACATACACACAGCTCAAATATATGCTTGCTTTAATGTAACGTTAAGACATGAGACACTGCAGTGAAGGTATCATTTAATGGTGTTATCCTTTTGATCTTATACGAGAAAACGTGCAAATGTAAATATCTTTTCATAGCACGAAAACCCCAAAAATACATTATGCTTTCAATCCTATTTTTTGTTTTGTTATGTGTAATTGAGATATGTTGTTTTAATAGACATCGAAGTTGGTACGAACTGGTTGTTATTTGGCTCTGTCTTTTTCCCCCAAAGGTTTTAGTCCGATAACTTAAATCTTTGGTTGTCATTAGGCAGCAGAATAGACGTTAATACAACAGAGATATTTTGTGAGGAAGGCTACAACAACTTACTTACTTGTGCATCTTTTGTGTCGGCTTATTGTTTTTTTCCGACGTTTTTACTTTCCGAAGGAATGAGCGCGCGTCGTGTCGATATCCGGTAAGAAAGTGTACCCGTGTAATGTGCTTAGAACTACTCGTAAGGCTAGGCCTGTTTCGGACTTGAACTCTCCATCAGCATCATGTGATTTGAAAAAAGTTCGGTATGTTTTATTTCATTCAGTCTAGTTCGCTAGTTTTGTTTCCTCTCAGACCAAAATAAAACGGAGGTAACGTGACATATCTACTTGTAAATTTGATAGATCCCGAGTATTTTCTGGTGCATGTCGACCACAGAGAACTATCAAAAAAAAATCTCCAAGCTCGAAGCAAAAATCGCCTAAAAACATTGCTCTCGATCTGAGTGTCGATGAGATTCCTCAATCTGATGAAGCTACGAAGTCCCGACGTCGCCGACTAGATGCCAATGATTATATTCGTCGTCGGTTCTTGTATGATGACTCCATCGATAGACTTGCAAAGTCTAAACAGGCAAATACTCATAAACGCGCTCTATCTCGTGATATGAAATTTCGAAATTCACCAGTTGCCCTGATGGCTGCATCATCAGAAAATCTTCAGAAGAAACGGAGGAAGTTTCACGACAGAACTTTGACGTCTAGTAGTCAGTCATATCGTTGCCGACGAGGAAGAAGGGCGAAATTTCTAGTTTCGGGTCTGGTAGGCCATGATAAACCCTTTGGAGATACGTCTTTATTGGACGGTGATAGTTCCAATGATGAACGGTTTTCTATTGAATGTGGGGACCAAATAGATGGAACTTATTCGGATCGCAATGCACAAATTGAACATGATGAGAATTCTCACCTACTTAAGCCGCTTTTTCGAAAAGCGCATAAAAGTACTGCGTGTAGGCACGATGGTGACCCTTCGGATGCTCTTCAGGTTGGCTAATTAAGGATTTGCATGCTTATATCTTGTATACCCTTGGCCTTTAGTGTAATGTAATTGTAGTCGGACCAAATGACTAATTTTCATGAGATCTTTTCCATTCATTTGTTAGAATCATCCTGATTACTCTTCGGGTCTTCCGGGCTTCTTTCTTAATGATGATATGAACGATTTCACAAGGAGTCGGGGTCCCCTTGTTTTGAGTAAACGCGCTCGTCACCGTCTTGTGCCTCTGCCATCGCCTCCAAGGAATGATTTTATGAAACAAATGACTGAATTTCAAGGTAATAATTCCGGTCTGCTTGACTGTTTGCACTTTAACTTTATCAAAATTGCTCTTAAATTTGACTAGAATTCGGATTATCGGATGGTGATGAGGCCTTCAGACATAAAGTTCATGGGACCTTCTCCTTAGATCAAGTTGTTCCAGCCACTGAGGCCAATACATCCGCAAGCGCTGAATGGAGTGGTCACTTAGGAGAATCTGCAGATCCCAATTCGGTGAATTCGTCGAAACAAACCGCTGTTGAAATGGAGGATTTTGCTGGCGACCTTTTGCCCCAAATTTCTACGGGTGTCAATTGCCCTCCGACATCTGGTAGTAGTCGGCGAAAGTCCCCAATTCGTCCTATGCAGGTTCTACGCAACGAACCCATATTATATAATGCAGAAAACAGTGGTTCCACAGGGTTGGTTAAGCATCTTAATTTACCTTTTTTTCACGATAGTGTCAGCGCAACAGGAGCGAATCTTATCCAGCAGAAACAATTGGTTTCTTCGTTTTCCCAACCTTCGGGCAGCGAAACCGTTAGTACTGTAGCTGCAGGTCTGGTTGATTTGTGTGCCGCAGCGGGTCTAGATTCGACTGCCTCAAATCAAACAACTCAACTTTCTCATATCTCCGCTGAATGCACTGACTCTGGCGAACATCCCTCCCAATCCATTATCACAAATATGTCTCAGTACTCACTGATCAATTCAAATTTAGTTTCCCTTCAACCAGGTGGTAAATGTATTCCCATACCATTGCAAATTGTTATGGATTTGAGCTTGGAAATCTATCTGTAAATATTTGATGTATAAACGTACTTATCGGTAGCCCCTTTTGGAGACTTAACTGTACTTCGGCAAAAATGTTTTCACTTTTTGCAGGTCGAGTGTTTGTGGAGGCGGGTCCTCAAAACCCTCTTGCCGGATACACAGTTACTCCCTCCACACCCGTTTCCCGAGTCTCTCTGATGTCTAGCAGATATAACTACGGACAGCCGTACACACTTTCCAGGATATCCCATCCTACCAGTGCTACCAAGTCGGCCTCTGGTGCCTCGGGTTCTGCCAATCCTCCATCTACTTCTAGCTCCCGCAGGCGTCCGACTATATTAAAGCGAGGAGTCATCCCTACTTCCTCTTCATCGATTAATCCGGTCTCTAAGGTGTCAACGGGATATAATGGTACCCCTTCGTCTGCGCCAAGCTCGTTATTTTCGTTAATGCCCATTATGCTTACGATATTTCTCGTTTGCTGCTACTTCACAATCTAACTCTGTATGGTTGTTTTCAAGGCTTACAATAGTGGTGTATGTTAATGCCTTTTCAAACAACTGTAAAGTGATCAATTCCCTTTAGTTCCTCGGCTCTCTCCACCATTCATGCGTACTGCGTTGAGGAGCGTTCAGGCCTCGTCTCTGGTCTCAGGTGCGCAACAATCAGCACGACCTGTGACCTACACCATCGTCTCTGCGGCTGCATCTGGTCAACCAAACGTGATTGCTGTTGCGCCGACTTCAGTCGAGACTAATTCTTCAACTTCGCAGACTGCGAGTTCACGGCTCTTTGGAATAAAACGTAATGTCGGCACTCCTCCAGCTGCAGAAACCAGACCGGTTTCATCGTTCTCGTCCTCAAACCTTACTCTAATCTCCTGCTTGCCTACATCTTCGCTGGTCTCTTCCGGTACGTTTCTTTATTTAATCGTGTTTCTCTTATCCATTGTAATAAATATTGTTTTTTTTAGATTTTCATTAATGATATTACTTAAGATTAAACGAAAACTTCAGTTTTACAATTGGCTCAATCGTGTTGGTATTGATTTTTGGTAAATTTAGGGATTTACAGCAGCACCAACTGTTCGCAATCTGATATGTAGTTGAGGAAATTCTGCTCTACCGTTCTTCAGTCGATTGAAAAGTGTACGTGGTGTTATATTTTAGCTCAACAGCCCGTTAGATATGCTTTTGTACGAGGCGCTAGTGATGGGAAAAAGTATGTGCTCCTTGGTGGTAACACCAATCTTGGTGTTACCAATTGCAAAAGTTCACTGCATGTAAGTTTTATTTTCTTGGTAGTGCTTTATCAAAAAGACCCAGGTATTTGTACTTGTCGCAGGTGTTACTTATGTTTTGGTTTGTTTCTTCAACAATCGACTGCATTCGATGACATCTACACATGCCACATTTTTCTAGTGTACCGAAACAGCAGATAAGGAAGCTAGGTGTGCGAATGGTGGGGTATCCTGCGGTCTTGGAGATGCATTCTTGGGACCGGCTGTTGTCAATACTCCTGCATTCTACTCTCGTACTGCATCGTCCGATTCAGATGTGGGCGACAGCAATCAAAACATGCCCCCAAAGCAGGCAACAGCAATGGTTTCATAACACTTATATTTTAACCTTGATGAGCTCCAAGTTCATGTATATATTTTATACACCATACTGTTTCCTCTTTGTACAAATTCGCCTTATATTTGCACAAATTGGAGACTAACGGTGCTCATCTTTTGCCATTTCGTGGTCTGTCCGAATTCGTCATTGTAAAACCAATTGCATTGCTTGTATATATTCGATATCCATGCCTTTTCAACTCCCCATGTACTGCGGTAATGGTCCTGTTTCTCTTTTTAAGTTTGCTCGGCGAGGTATTGTCATAAGATATTGCTATATCCTTCAGACAATTACTCTTCAAATCGCGTATTTGGGTTTGGATAATTGTACTGATGCGGACAGTGTCTAGGTTTCGAGTCGCGGCATTTGGAGGCATCATCGACGGGTGTTTCACGGCGCCGGGAGGACTTCGGTTAGAAGGAACCATTGCAGTGGGGTGAGGCATATATCGGCTGAGGACGTGCAGCTCGATTTGACTGCAACATGTAGCGCATCTATTCCGTGGTCTGTGAGGCCGGTGGTTACTTTGGTACTCGCCATGGCCTTGGATGCGCGGAGTGGTGGTTGGGCTATGCCTAGGCGCGACCTCTTCCCCTCTCCCTAGCCAAAATACTTTTTAGCCTTTTCTAATCTAATGGAAAGTATTGAGACGTTTAATAATGCTACTTGATGTCAGGCAATGCAAAACATATTGCTACAACGTCGAACATAAGTATATCATCAACATTTCTACAAAGATAACTAAGCTCCGTGGTTGTGGTAATTCGCATCTCGAAAGATGTGTGCGCAAATTGGATTGTGTGCTATGAACTATGACCATATGTGGCAGAAGCGCAACGGAAGTACTCTTAAAGTGGGAGCTTAAAAAGTATTCACTAACAATCATAAAACATGTTTATAAGGGATAAATAGGCGCCAGTTTTGAAAATTAAGATATTGTAAAATAGTAATATGTAATGATGATCACTTTGGTCTTCGAAGTCAGCCTTTTTATGTGGACCCATAAGTGCACTGGGTCGTTGTACCCGATGGGAGTGTCACGCATCCCCATTGATCTTGCATATAGGTTGTATTGTAATGCATATAAACGCTCGATTTGCCAACGCATTTTTCATGTGATTCCGATTGTAATGGCTGCATCTCTGGCTAAGCTGGCTTTTTTGCGGCATCGGTTTAAAATGGTAAATGCGGGAACTTTACTGGACATCGTCAAAAATAGACCAGCATATAAACCTCTTATAACAGTCTCAAATCATTATTCTTGCCTTGATGATATCATTCTGTTTGGGCAAGTGTTGCCCTATGAGGTGCTATTCGATGGTAGGTGCTTTTTATTTCATTTAAAATTTTAAGCGGACAGACTCAGATGGACCTTGGCAGCTGTTGATATTTGCTTCGTAAACAGTCTGTATAGTGCATTCTTCGCCTCTGGTAAGGGAATTCCAGTTTGGAGACGTGTTCGGGATCCCGAAACGGGTGACATTCTGCTTCCAGGGCTAGGTGTTTGCCAACCTAGTATGGAGTTTTGCCTAGAACTGTTAAACGCTGGACAATGGATTCATTCGTTTTCCCAGGTTTCTGTGAATTACTTGTTTTCGCTCAGCTTTGAGTAGTGACTCATCTCGTCCCTGTTGAGATGCCATACTTTTCGGGACGGCTAATTCTCGCGCCTTTTAATTGATGGCCTGATATCGTTTGAAATGTTAGTTGAACTGTGCTGAATATGTATTACTTTATTCCATAGAATAATAGGAATCTCTGCATAGGACTTTTTGAATCCCATTTAATAAAACTATACTTTTCCTTTTAAGGGTCGCGTGATTCTGCCTCATGAAAGAAATAATGAGACTAGTATCCGACTTCGATGGGGTATTGGGCGTCTCTTGGCAGAAGCCTCTGTGGTGTGTTACGTAATCACCCATTTTACCTTGCAAGAGCCACTAAAAATATTCTGAATGTGTGCTTGATAAATGTGCTTGTTTTACTAATATAATTGTTGCTTTTTGTCAGGATCCAATAGTCCTTCCTATTTGGCACTGCGGCATTGATGAAATGAGTCCTTGCGAAGAACCCTATGTGCGGCGCACCCTTACTCGACTTTTTGGTCCACCTCTAAGTGTGACCGTCCTCGTTGGATCTCCTTTTGAAGTTGGTTATCTGGCACGAAAATCGGGACGTACTGGAGCCAGCCTCTATACTTGTCTCACGGCATCCGTACAACATGCGCTGTATCAGCTGAAGCCAACAGCTGAGGCTGAACATGCGAAACACAAAGCTTCCTTAGAATTGTCTTACTAAAAACAATCCTTCCTGGTGCATATGTTCTGCGTTGTCAGAGGGCCTGGTTTCATGCATTGTATGTAATATAATGCTTATATCTTAGATGCTTTCCTAAAAAAGTTTACATAACGTCATTGAAAAAGTTATGCCTGATAGCGCGTGTCGTTATTGGTGGTGTGGAACCTGGTCTGGAGGGACTATTATTGGAAGAAAATGATGTGGCGCATTTGTACAGAACTTGTTTTCCCGGTTTGAGAACTAGGGACAGATGGAAGGATGCTTTGAATAATTTCTGGTTGGGCGTGGTGATTGTCCCGAATACCACCATTGGGATGCTGCTGGCTGCGTTCTCAACATTACAGTCGTCAGAGTGCGCAGGACTGCATGCTTTGAGCTAGAAATTTCGGAGCATTACAGCATTCTGAGTAGTTTTGTTCCTCCGATTTGAGCCTTCGGAGCAGTGCGCTGATGTGTGGTAGGGTAGTTGAAGTTTTGCTCCAAGTAGGTGTTATAATTGTTACCTTGGAAGAAGCTAGAAGATGACGGTAACAATCAAAGAAGGAATGCAATGGTGAGAAGCAAGGACGGCGGTTAGTAAATGGTGTCTTTGTCATCAGAATTTGTTCATTTCGTTGATATGGCATCTCATGAAGGAATTTTCTGAATCTCAACATCTTCCATCGCGCCACGAGGCCGAAGTTAAAAATGAGAAGGCTACCAACTGACATATCAAGCTCGATCAAAGAAATGAGTAAGTAGACATGCTCGACGTAGCCCCATTCTATCCCCAAAATTTTGGCAGCTCAAGTTTAGATCAGTGCTGTATTGTTTAAATATGATGTTCGTTTCCCATGTAACTATTTGAGAGTTTCTATTCTTTGTACTGGTCCTTCATTGTTTGCTCATTTTATCGGAGGCCCAAATTAGGAGGTCGTAGTCGAATGCAAAGTAAAACAGGTTACCAAGGAAGATGCACATTGAACTTTTGGCTTTACCCATTTGTTTACAATTCCAATTTCTTTATGTAGTCCGTAGTAGGTGGAAACCAATTACGTGAATCAGTATCTAGTTCTATTTGCACAGTATTCAAAACGTTCGCGACCATTTGACATGATGCTAACTTCAATCTAACGACCATTGCAGGCCATCTTTGCCATATTCGCCATTAAGGTTTTCAAAAAAGTGAAATCCACCATCATCTACTGATGGAGTATTATGTTTTTGAGTGCCCTTAATTGCAGTCTTTATGTCGAGGAGCAGCGGCGAAGTAGTCAAACAGAATGCAAATACCTACCTCTTTCGGTAGTCGTGTCTCTAAGATTTCGGCCTGTAACTTTTCGATATGCTTAATGCAAATAATCTTTGGGGTCTGCCCATCATTATTACAGTATTTGATCAGTAGAATTTAAAACCATGTGGCCATTGTTTTCCGGGTTTGGTCAAAGTCCGTCTCTTCGATGCAGCGAGGGTGAACAGTATGGCAGGCAGTTGGTAGCCATATCAAAATTAATCAACTCAACTGAAAGCAGGACATGGTAAGTCAAAGCACGACTCTGCATTCCTTTCAAGTCGTTTATCTTTCTGTTCTTAACCGATAAACAATTGTAAAATAGCTACTCTATTTTCATCGGCGCACAACGCGACACTGCGAAGAACAAATATGTCTCTTTATCAAACGTCAAAGTACCGATCTTTTTTGGCCTTAAGGTAATGTCTAAAGGAGTAACCTCGGCCATTATCCCCGCCCCATACCTACCAAGTGCATCAAGTTTCTTTTGTCTATGCAAAAGAACTCCGTGCAATTTTAAAAGCAGTCTTTAATTATTGACATGGCTTGATATGACCAACAATTATCCATAACATGGCGATACTGCAATAAGTGAGTCACGAATCTGTTCTACAGTCCTCTCCGTATTGTAATGCCTGCAGAATGGACCAGAAAATAGCTAGTTTTGCCTACTTATTCTTTATCTACTTGTATAAGTTGTACAGTCGAAGACGAAAGTGAACAGGTTCACACGCCATTTCTACAGCCTTCAACATTAATTGAAGTTCATTTTTGAGTGTTATTGTCAAAAAGCTAGAACTTGGAAAGTGATCCCGGTTTAGTGGTCACCAAATTAATGCGTGTATGAAGGTCAAGTGTGGCCGTCGTCCCTTTCTGTTAATTAGACTATTTTATACTCATTTAATAATGTCTGGTTCAGCATCAGGACAATGTTTCCAAATGCGATTTTCTGAGATTACTTCCATTTGTATTAACCTTTAAAGAGTGGTGACACATTGTAAAGTGTGCAAATAGCTTTAAAAGTCTCGTCCAGATTTGTGGATGAAGTGGCACATCCAGAGTTTAATTAACAATGTTGCGGTGATTCACGCTTGAAAGCGTACAGTTGTCTTCAATGTGACTGCAACTTTTCACCCCGTCGCCATCATACCCTTCTGGCGCCAAGGCCACAAACCACAATCAGATTCATAATTTCATACACTCCCTCCCTTCCCCACCCATCCAGCTCGACTCACAACCTTGGGAATGGTCGGCAGCCTCCACCACCCACTCCCCCACGCACGCTGCCCACTTCCAACCAGTAGAGCACGCGCATTCATGAGCGCCTCAAAACGCTCCTCTTCTCAACCCTCTTCCACTCCACCCCTTGCCTCCATTGCCTTCTTCTTTGACGCGCAAGTGTGAAGCTGGTTTTTGCGGCGTCAAGTCACGCGTCTACTCCTCTTACAGAAGAAGCATTCAACTTGCAGACTTATCCAATCAAGTTTCAACCATTTGTCCCATTTATTTAATCCCTATCTAGATCAAACCACTGTGTGCTCTGTTACGCTAGGGAGGATAAGCATTTCGATAATTCAATGCATTCTTAGCATCTCCCGCTTTCCAAGAATCAGCATATTCAGAAGCCATCGTAGAGTATAACAAATTTCTGGAATGCACACAAGAAAGGCATAAAACCTCCTTGGATTAATTCACTCAAGACACGTTTGAAATGGTACTTAGATGGACGCACTGCGCAGTTGTGGTAAAACCACATTTTGTATTCATTCAGTGGTTTCAAGTGCTTATATAGCCATTCTTATTAAGTGTCACTTATGCGATTAGAATAAGAATGAGTGGGCTGCTTTGAGTACTTATACCCAAGGCATACAGAGGCGCAATCTGCATACTACCTTCCAAGTAGCTTACCACAGTGTTTGTCAACCCGTGTGCAGTGAAGTGGACTTGTCTGTGCAGAGCTAATTCAAACGATGTAAACAAAATTGGTTAGGTTATATTTGATTGCGCTTCTACCTTCCACCTTGACAGCGTTCAATTGAATAAACAATGTCCTAGATTCTACACATAAACAATAAAGGTGATATCATTTACAACAGTGCAGATCTCCAAAACGCTCTTTAAAAATTAACACCAACTCAACAGCCTGTTGAAAATTTTGACAGCTTCTGGAAAACGATTAGTTTTCCGAGGACACAATGTTTACTACTTAAATGCACTCACTCCTGCCGTAAACTCAATCGTTCAGTCGACAAAGCACATCGTCACCAGCATGAATGGATACGGAGCTTAAAAATCGCAACTTAACTACCTCAAATTATATGGAATTTTTTACACTTTACCTCTAGAAAAAAATAATAAAAGCAGGCATTCTCAAAAGTGCTGTTTCCACATTCTTATAGTGCAACATAATTTTCGCGGAAAGATATTTGTTAGAATACAGTCATAATCGCTTCCAGTGGATTAAACAAAAGTTCATTCCACAATATCCGCAATCTATTCAGAGGCTTTACATAGCCGTCGTGATTTTGGCGACTTCGACTCTAGCCTAACATTCGCATTCAATGACGCTGAAACAAAAGTTCGAATAATGGCAAATTATTAGTTTTCACGCTTTTACTCTCATGGACCACGCAAACCCATTCCGTCCGTAATGCCATCGGTCCTCGAGTGCGCACCATTCTCGTGTCGGTTTCTTTTTCACTTCCCATGCTTTTTACTCATTTCTGACAGATTTTAGCTCCTATTCAAGTTTAATTACGTCTCGTCGGCTCGCCTTCAAAGCAGTCACAAATTGTGAGATTCTACTGGCATTCGTTCTGCATGTTCACTATTGTCTCTCGTGGTCAAGGGATCAAAAAGTCGAGTGGCGATTCTTACAACTCAATAGTTTAGCAGGTTATTAAACAGTGCCATGCTCTTAATCCACATTTTGCCCAAATTTAATATTTGAGACGGCTAACTTAACTTTTGAGTTACCATTTAGCTATACCATTTGAAACACCTTGGAGTTTTTAAGTTCACGGGTAGCCTGTCTAAGAATAAATCAGCTGAAATTAAGTATGCTAATCAGGAGAAGGTCCCTTTTAAGATTATCATTACCACTTCAGCAGTTGCCTAAGTTTGTTTTAAAACTCCTGCTCAGTATGATGTGTCTAATTTCTTGTTTACGAAACGTAGATACGCAAAAAGGTTAGTTTACTCCTTCACTTATAGTCGTAAACACTCGCCTCACTGTAGGTGATATCAGGCGTTTACAAACTGAGCCTACCATTTACAGTGATATTCTCCGGTTAACATGGACAGTGGAAGAAGAACATGTATTTATGAGAAAGTGTAACAAGGCCATTTCTTTAGCCTCGCAGCTTAAGACCGAATGCAATACAAAGATCCGTGCGAAAGTAATGTATGCAACAAAACACGACCTCGCATTGTTGTTGGTTAATGACAGCTCTGCCAACGTCCCTTTTATAAGGAGTGAGTCTAGCAGCACAATGGGATACAATTTGGAGTAATTGTAGGACTGTTTGAATTTTAGCTTGATGACAATGACACAGCACCAGTGACGAATATCATATACCGCGTTCCTTTTTTGCTACTTTTTCAAAAAAATTGGGTTATTGCATCCAAACAACTGATTGAAGTAGAGGTATTTAAAAACTCCAATGGCCCTAAACTGATCCTCCTTGTTCTAGTGCCATTTCAACAATATGTCTGTAATGTGCTATTTGCTTGTGATGAGAAGCCAAAAATGCAGTAATGACATTAGCTTTGCCTGAAGGTGGAGCAAACAGAAAGGGGTAGGCGTGGAGGAACTTTACTATCGCATTCTCCTCCCCTCTACAACCCTGTTTGTGCACCCACCCTCGAGTTATCTTGATCTTCACCGGCGCCAGTAGCAGGGTAAAAAGCTAGAACTGTTGCTAGGATATTTGGTAAGGCCGCAAGTAAACGGGAGTGGAGGGGTGGTACAATTGCATCTTAATTAAACCTCTGTTAATGCACACATGAGGACCGTAAAGATCTGGTGGAGATAAGAGAATGGAGCAAATGGGTGCACTCTTTGCCCACTCTCTTTTCTTCCCCATCTCTATCATCCTCATCCTCCCGCTTTCCGACCTTATGCTAGTATGTGTTTGTGCTACTACATTGTGACAGGCTTTTACCGCGCTGCAAATCGAGTTAGGAAACACAGAAACATAATTAAATGGGAAGCTAATCAATTTGGGTGGGCGTCCAACGTGCCGTAAATTGGATGGAAAGGTAGTTTGTTCGAAAATGCCTGCAAGGGGAAATGTGAGATGTGGCAACTTTTCCAGCCCCTGAGTCAAGTCTACGACTTAAAATGGTACAGTAAATTGGCGAGCATCAAATTTGAGCAGTGGTGATTAAGTAAAAATTAGGTGGCATCGTAATGTACTGAACAAATTAGGATGCAAATTAACGTATTACTTAAGCCTTAAAAATGATTACAAAGTATACGAATGCTTAAGCGCTCATGGAGTACAACAATGATGTGGGGAACAGCAAATCGGTCCCTATTTGTAAATCATTAATCTGATATCCAGTTATTAATAAGTGACAAGTTTAGTGATTGCGTTGTCCCAGCAACATTAACATCACACCCGTTCGTCACTTGCCACACGTATGCACGTGTGCACGGGGAGGGGAGGAAGCATGGTGTTTCAACATCCCTGCCCCCTATCACTATTCCTTCTCTCTTCTTTTAGTCCTCACATCCCCGCCCCTTAGCGACTTGCCATGTGCTCTTCATCTCCCCGATACCTTAGTTATCTGAAATTTTATGATTCACCCCTGGCCACTTGTTAATATCCATTAGCTGAGTAGTTGCTGACTCCAACTCCCATAGACGTACGCTACTAAGACTGCAACCGATCATGGCCCTGGTAACTGAACTTCTCGACAAAATTCCAAACCAGGTTGAGTGAGCTTACTGTATTTGATACACCCATATCGTTTTAAGAATGCATCCCAAACGGAATTCGGCTTCACTGATGTCAACACTTAATAGAGATTAAAAAGGGCTATCGTAGGTTGAATTAAGGTCTACGGCTCGCGTGCCTATAAATGCCTTCTATGGGTGCATTGCATGGGTTAAGAGGAATTGATAAACATAGATTGGCGTCGCTTTAATTAACACACGCAGGCCTAGCGTTCAAAGTGCGCTAGTCGCGCTCACGCGCCCTCCACTGGTGGCGCCAGTGGTGAAAACCGTCAAGCGGGTGCGTGGGGCTGCAAAAACTTGCGTGCGCGCACGTACGCACCCACACGCACACGTGGACGCCATGACGCTGCGCGCATCGCCTCCCTCGACCAATGAACTCGGGCGAAGGAGAGAGGGATGAGCATAGGCAGAGAATGAGAGAAAGGGCTGAAAATTCGTCTTTCTCATTCGCCAGGGTGGGGATGGAGGAACGGGGAAGGAAAGGGAAGTAGGAAGTTACAGCCCCAATACTACCTCGTACCCATCTGCTACTGAGCCTTTTAAATCGATTTGAACGCCTCCACGGCTAACGCTTATGAAAAAAGTGACAAGCATTGAACTCAAGCTGACTTCATAAATAATGCCGTAAAAGATACACCATTTAAGACAATATTTATTTACAGGAAGCGTACAAAAATATTCAAAAACTAGAAGAATTTCGCACACGCGAATTCACCGAATTGCAGCGCTGGATGCCAAACAGAGTCTATCTAAAAGTTGGGTAAAAGTTGTTTCTGTTGAATTGAATTTTTCATTGGGATTAGAAAGTTAAAATTTTAACAGTTTATTCGAAAAATAAGCACAAAACAAAAGCATAATACTTTTAATAAAACGAGATTTAAAATGAATAAAATGTATCAGGTACCTGCACTACCGAATTTTTCATCTTGATGCCGATCAAAACTAGCACCTTTCAGAAAAATTTTTGTTCCTCTTCCACAGCAGCTGGTTTTCCTCCTACACAGTTAACAGAAGTAGAGGGATTTGCGATGAATTGACTCTCCACAGGACAGCGCATAATACGCCCCAAGGCGAGTACCTCCCGGGGACTGCGGACTCTGTTGCTAGCGACCGCCTGATAGTAGGGTGTGACTGAAGTACACTGGAAAGTGCTGCCTTGGCTGCGACTGTTAATTCCACTGTCTGCATGTGTTTGCGAATCCGTTACAACAATTACGGGGTCCGGAAATTTGCTTTCGCCGACTTCCTTTACCGCCTCCAGAAAGGTCTCATCAAGAGTCTTTTTAATCCTTAATATGGGCAAACGAACATCAGGTTTTGCATGCCAGCATTCTTGCATCAGACTGGCGCAGCGAGCAAGTACCCTCGAGTTCTGCCAACGCTCCGAAATAGGCGGACGTTCACCCTCGACATAAACCACCCGACGCATTTCAGCAAAGCTGGGGTCAGCGGAAACTTTATTCCAGTAAGGCACACATGGCGGATAGACCTCACCTAAAAGCCATTTTTCACTGGGTAGTGCGTTTTTGGGTAGGAACACAATAAAAAAGCTACAGAACCTATAGTAATGTCAAAACACAAAAAATCACGTAGTCTACGATAATTTTGCGTTCTAATTTTCGGAGACTTCTGTAATTTCAATGACAATGCAGTACCCGATCGAAAAGCTGTAATTGTAGGATGTTATGTTTATCGGATCCCTTGACGTATGAATTTAGACTTCATAGAACCTCATGTACAATGATAAGTATCTCCGATAGTTATATGATATTTTGTTAACGTTGTAAATGCATCAAACCCACCATTTTCCGACACGCATCGACGAAAGATTTCCCAAAGTACTAACCCAAATGCGTAGACGTCAGCAGCTTTCAATTCCTCAAAGTTGAAGCCAACTGTACTAGGCACTGATGACGTATCGTTCATTCGATTTTTGCTTTGAAGATATGCTGAAATCTCAAAATCATGTGGCAGTATCCCTTCACCAGATTCAGGACATTCCTCAAGACCATCATCGGCAAGTATTTCTGGCGCCATGTATCTTTTTGTACCAACCTTAAAAGCAAAGCCAGGAAATAAGGATAAATATTTCAAACATTAATTTTATTGACTTTCTACTTCTCATTTACTACCATGTGGTTCGGTTGGGCAATATCCATTTCCGTTGAGCCAGATGCCTGCATCACAGCTAATCCCAGATCTCCAATGCTGCAAGTACCGTTCGCCTGAACCAAAATGTTCTTTGACTTGATGTCCCTGTGAGCTATCGCTGGTTTTCCCTTTAATGCAAATAGACACGGATTAATTTCTCATTTCGTATAAATACAACTGTTGAATAGATTTAATTCTGTCGATGAACAAAGTAAGTGAAAGTACCTTTGACAGTCACACGGATGATTATGTGGTGATGCCTAATGTCTCTGCAATGACTTGTATGCTAACATTGGCCTTCCACTTTCCAAGTCCGTTCATTTCGTTGGAAGCAAATGGTCCTCATCCAGTGACATTGCAAATCAAATGCCTCAAACAGACGACATACGGTACCTACTGTGCTAAGATCTTTCAAATACACCATTAATCAGAGCGTCATGCAGTATAATGGGTAAAACCACTAGTCAGCACGCAACAGAAAGCCTCAATGCCAAAGCGGTCCCTCTCCCTCCCCTTTCTGTCTCTCGCTATACTCAATCACCCTGTATGAAAACTGAGTTAAAGGGGCCGTGGATAGAAATCCATCGCTCCCACCACCATCACCACCACCAAAAGAAAGTCGCGGAGCCACCAACACCTGGTCGAATGTGACACATGTGGTCGCAGCTCAGACCTCACATGTCTATCTCATGATTGAATCAACACCATGGGTCTTCAGCGTGTGAAACTAATTCCCGGTTTCCTTAATTTTGTCCTACGAAAACCATGCATTTAGAAATTCAGGATTGCACACATAAGGGTATACTTGGAATACATGAAGCTTAAATATCATTTCAAACAGGCTTGATGATTTAAGAAATTGGCCACTATCGACAGTTTATTTGACACAGACGAAATCTTTTCAGTAACGCACCATATTCATTAGCATGGTGTTAATTCCATTTGGTCTAAATAGTAATCTATACGATCTTTTAGGGTATTTATGTCTAACTTGCAATCCGAGGATGCAGGAGTGAAGGTAGCAGAGGCCGGACGCGGCTGTTTTGGCCAATCGAAGCGCAGCGATTGTGTCCACTACGTGCGCTTGCAGAAAGTCGTACAGTGAACCGTAGGGATGATAGTGGGATATAATCCACAATTGTGTGCATCCGTACCTATGTTAAATTTTGGGTTTCTTTGAATAATAAAGTCGTCTACAAACCAACTTCAACACAGTAATAAGGGGACGAAGAAAACCAAACTTTCTTCCTGAAAGCATTACGGAGTATTAATGATGTGTAAAAGCAAAACAAAACCAACCGAGAGGTTATATCACTGGCGTAGTAGCTAAGAATATTTTCGTGTCTGAGAAGAACGCTGCTGTAGATGTGCGTTTCCCTGGCCCAGCTGGCCTCGTCACGACTGGAGAATATTTTCACTGCCACGTTCTCGCCCCGAAAAATCCCACGCCACACCTCGCCATAACGACCCTTTCCTATGAAGGTAAATATTTTACCTGTTCTAAGCACTTGATTTGCCCATTCGATGATGGCTATATCTTAACACCAAATAAACTCGTAAGTCACTTAAAGCTTGATTCAAAGAAATTCATTTTATTCTAGAATGAAGGATGACACACTTTTAGCTATATTGAAGATTTGAAATCTCAATAAAATTTGGACAAAATGATGCATACAGTTTGGCGAGTTTAGTAGAAAAATGTCCTTAATGTCGGTTTTGGGACGTTTAAGTGCTGCACATACCGATACACTCCTGCAGAGAAATCTGTCGAGCCACTGTCGCTTGCACCAGGAATGGCACTCCGCTGCCGCTTCCACTCGACATTGTGCCTGCGGAATGCTTCTGCTGATAGGAGATTAAACAGTTGAATAAACATGGTTGAGCTTATTAAATACTTTATTTCAGCTGCGGCTGCTATGTTGGGAGATTGTGAACAACCTGCTGTTGTAATCGTGGACACTGGCTTTCGGCAGTGTAAAAATTCACCATCTTTATTGGGGATGAAAAAGCGCATTTAATGCACCAAAAATGAAGTTATTATACAGTATGTGCTATGCAAAAAGCATAGTGCGACGTATAATTTTTAAAGCAGTAAACGGAGTTAAACACATAATTACTTAAACTGCATCTACAATATGCAGAATGGTGAGAACACATACATAATTGACCGAGAAGAGCAAATTCGACAAATATCAAATCATTTTGGTGTATCTAAAGCTAGGAATGTAGTCACTTTCTAATGCATATGCAAGCTGCTCATTCGAGAACATTTTAAACCTCTTACCTTCCCGTTTCGATAAACGTTTAGGTACGGAATGAACCCACCACTTAGGCTGCAATTTTTTTGGATCCAGTTTATGTCAATCATTACAATTCAGCTACCAATAATTTGGCTTCAACATCAATTGAGAAATCCCGAATCTGGGAATGGCTTCAGACGGATTAAAATGCTACAGAACGTTGCGAAAACCTTGTGCTGTGTGTGCACATCCAACAAAGGTCCGATAAATAGGAGGTACAATTATCATTAGAGGACACGGAACATCCTCCTCTCAAGCACACCGAAATGCTAACAGGGAATGGCGTAAGTTTTCAATCGACTGAGGAAAGTTGCAAAATGGGCTTATCCTAAAATGGTATTGAATAAAGTACCGTTGATTCGAAATTTGCATAGTGTTCATATCAACATAACCAACCATACATAGGATCGCTCTTACTAAACAAGATTTTGAAAATTTTTTGGAATTGCTTGTGGTTAGCTCTGACGATAAGAGCGTCAACGCATGCCGCCGAACACTTAACGCCTTTCCCTTTCACACCGCCCCCAGTAAAGGCAAAAGCCATCATCCACGAGCGGGTGGTGGAGGAAACTTGAGGAGGAGAGGATGAAAGTGGAGATGGCATAAGCGTCTCAAACAGTTCGTAGCATCATCGCATTTGGCGCGTTAAAACCTTAGAGATAAATATCTGCCAGTTGGAAAATGCACTCTGATGGAGGTATTAGGAATGCACCAAGCGCATAAAACCTAAAAGACGATAGAATGGGAAGCTATCTAAATCTCACGTAAGTACGAAGCTAAAAGCTGCAGAAAATGAATGCAACACATTCGTGGAGTCTCGCTCAAAGCGCCAGGAGCTAGAAAATCCTAATAATTAGTAAACTACCTTTCTAGAAACGCCTCCAAGGCAACTAATGTGAACACCTTTGCCAAGTCCTTGAGCAAAAACAGCGTCCTAGGCAGAAGAATTCATTTGACGGAAGCCACGTCTTCAAAATAATTATTGATGCATCACACGTATGTATTTATTCATAAAATTAATTAATAATATGCATACCATTAAGGTTGGCATCATTATTTAGTTAAAAAGTGAAGTATAAGCCTTCGGGGACTCATGATCTAAGTTGAATTTTGCTAAGCCTTTATTTTATCAAAACTACTACTGCTAATCAGCTGGTTTAAAATTATAACTTGAGAACATTGCGATTCCCCTAACAAAGTAAAATTTACCAATAAAACTAGGTTGTGCATTGTTTTGCAAACAACCCAGGTTGTCTTTACTCTTCTTAAGCTTCTCATCATACTAGGACCCAAGTTTACGAGCGCGTTGTATATATATGAAATATGCTGGCTACTTTGTATGTCCCAGCTCAGAGAAATTAGACAAAAGGAGACTAGGTTATCTGATATAGTGATTACAAAGTTAAAAAGAAAAAATTCAGCTAAAGAAGTGGTGAGACGAGAAGAAATAAAAAACCATTCCACAGAGATGTATTAGCAGGTGTTCCAATAAAACCAAAACAACGCCTGAATGGTTTCTGACTTAAAAGGGATGGTACAAATAAGAAGCTTTTAAAAATTGACTTGACGATACATTTTATAATAAGTGTTAGTCATCCATTCCAATCAAATTACGAACTTTTTGTGGTAAAACTAAACAGATAAATACATTTAAGTACCGACTAAGCATACTCATTAACCACTTTCAAGAGCATTACAAACAACGATAATAAGCATAAAATAACCGTTCTCAATATATTTTAATTTTTCTTACGCCATTGGTACTGGCACGTATCACCATCATCTGGAAGACAAGTACAATCAGTGCTAAGACAGGAAAAGTTCTACAATTAAATGTGCCAAACCATGTGTTTAAGGACAAATATGCTTTTACGGAAAGGTGAGCGAAAATTAAATAATTCATTTGTACTGTCAGAACAAAAAGAGGGTATCAATCTTGTTGTCACATAGTAGGTTCCCCCTCTACTTTTACCGATACCAGAAAACCTGCAAAAGTATGTTGCTGAATTGGTTAAATAACAGTATTATTGTTACGTGAGTAAACTCAAGCATTTTCGTATGAAAGAAAACCTTACATTACATACGTAAATAATAAGAATTGGCAGATGTTATTAAGCATCATCAAGTACGTACTTCCGATGGTAAAGCTGTAGCCGATTCCGATGCCTTTTGCGGAAAACTGCCTGAATTGTTTAATTGCAAGAGGTGTTGATTGAAAGGATTGCTTTTTGAAAACTCCACTTGCGAAAATTTAAGAGATGAATCAGTGCACACTCTGCAACAGCAGGTAAAAATATGCAAGCAGTGTTCACATGAAAAAATATTTGAGTTCCGCTTAAGAAAAAAGGATTCCGTCAGGAATTTGCCAATGCCACGTTCGTGATTCGAACATTGAACAACATTGGCAGGAGGCGATCTCTTGAAACGACATCGATAATTGATGACACCCTTGCAGTTTAAGCGGACAAAAAAGAGGAAAAAAAACAAAATGCAAATAAATAAAAGTATACTCGATATCAGTGAAACCAAAATAGCTTCACTTGACCAATCATATATAAGTGTGCGAAAATTTCGAGGAAGCGTTGGATAAGGCGAATGTGGCACATATTTCCGCTCCGAAAACAAATGCAAAGAACGATCTAAAAAGAAATCGCGTTTATCTAATCGGACGAAACTTTAGTACAGAAGAAAAAATTTAATTACCGGAAAAATTTATTCGATTGCAAAATTCGCCGCTGCTACAACAAAATATTGACGAGTTATAACTAAAAGGAACGCTGCAAAAAAGCCGCATTTGAAAAATATCGTTTGAGAAGCATCCAGACGTAATATACTCAGCGTCGTCAATAATATTCCTTGCGGTAAAGCACCCAGTGGTGGTGATGCAGGAAGTCGCATTAACTCCAGAGGATTGACATCGTTCAGGAGGATAACAAAAGCAATTTATTACTTTATTTTGGATAAGCATCTAAAAAGACGCTCAGACAAAAAGGTGCAAAACGCGAATACACCAAACTTATTCAAAGAGATGCTGGCAGATAAAGCTTTTTAATTATAATTATTGGGATAGAAAAACAAAAAATTATATTACAAAAAAATTGTTGTTTTTATTAACATTTATTAAATACGTTAAATGTTACAGATTTTAAAATTAGATATTAAATATAGAATTAATAACGAGGATTTCTATTCGTACATTAGTATATGAAGATAAAATTCTTATTATCAGTGCTCGTTGGCATAATTGCTTAGGGTAGATTACTGTAATGCATATTTAAAAAATTACAGTTAGTGCAAAAGCTGTACCATAGCAATTATTCTTCATTTCGCTGGTCATTTACCAATATTTTTTTACACGTAAATAAATATTCTTACAATGATTATTTTCCCTCAATGTTTCATGCATGAATATTCTGGCATCTTGGGGCTTTCCATAGGGCGGAAAAAGGCGTAAGTGGGATTGAATACATGTAGTTGGCAGACAACAGTTCAAATGGACCTGAGCGTGGCCCGAAGGCCAACCCACGTGTTCAGGGGCCAGACAAATTCTAAAGTGACTGCCAAACGTCAGGTAGTCACGCAAACAAAGCATTAAACTGCCCCTCTCTTCTTTTGAGCGACGTCCTCGGCGCCCTCTTGGTGCACCTCCCACGTCAGCCATCTCAACATATTCGGTACTACTACAAGAAAGCACCCACGAGCCAACCGCGCCAGTCGACAGACAACACGAGACTGAGGAACCGTACCTGGTCTCCTCTGCAGCTTCAACTGGATCTGGAGTTGCGTTCGGTCTGACAACGAGATTCGGGACCGCCTACACCTGTTGACCATCAATTGCTTCCAGGACTAGACGGTGGAACTCTGGTCTAAAACATATATGTTATGGGGGAAACGGGATGAACCACTGTCCTGTATGCGAGGAGAACCGTGGTGTCATTTCCGACACATAAGCACGAATGTTGTATGGAGAATTCCGACATGAAACTATTCCAGATAGTTCACGGCGGTGTCGCTTTAGCTGCTAATAACTTGTCTGTGGAACACAGGACTAAGGTGAAACCAAATGCAGACGTCAGTCTAAATCTTTTCGCTATGAAGGATTTAGGCATTCTCCATCAACAAGATAAATGCGTCTCCTTCAATTTACGTGACTTTGCGTGTATCTTCATCTACCGCACTTTGATAGCCAGACTTCCACCTACGCTCATGAATGCCGATGAACAACGCTAAAATGCCATTATCAATCTTGCTCGTCGGCTTGTAGGTACTGTTCCCTTCTGGAAACCAGTCGATTAATTGGCCCGAAGGCCAGCCCATGCTCAGGGGCCAGGCCAAATCTAAAGTGACCGCCAAACATCAGGTATTCGTATAAACCAAGCATTACAATCAGGCTACGAATGTAATCATTTGTTATTCAAATAAATTTATGAACGGTGCTATTGCTGCATAGACGAATCTCTTTTACTGTTACCTGACAGCATGCATTCGTCCCTGCTTAATGCTAATGGTAAGCCTCAGTATTCCACAATCTCGATGGTTGAAAGT